AACAACACTATCAAAAGTGACACTGAGATTGATTACCAATCACATGATATCACACAGACCTTGGTAACCTAACAAGCTTAAAACACAATGCCATCAACAACAACAAAAAAATCCATATCAGAGAACAAAAATAAAATATGAAGAATTAGAAATAGTAGAATGAATTTGTTCGCTTGTTTGATGATTTGTATCGTTAACGTATGATTCAGCATCACGTGTATTGGTAAGATTTTCGCCTAACATTTTGAAGGTTTGGTAATTTATACTAATGTTGAGGTTAGGATTTATTATCATTAAATACGCGAATATTGTCCGAAAGTATAATACAGTACATGATTTGAAAACTTTACCTAGGAACAGATCTACAGTAAGTTAGGCTCTGATCCAGTATTAAGAGGTAATCAATATAGTAACGACGTCAGAATTTGATTGGTTGGAGGATTTCATCATGAGCTCACAACAATTAGAGAATCATTGGAAAACCAACTGAGAGTACTGGACAGCCCGGTCTTTCGTCCTAACTTGGGACTCTTCATCAGTACGCACCCACCGCCAGGGTTCGAACCCAGGATCGCCTGGTTACAAGGCGAGCCCATGATGAAATCCTGTAACCATCCAATCAAATCCCTAAAAACCAACACTTGAATATCAATGAGATGCTCACTAGCGACTAGCCCTACTCAGGTAGGTAATTAGTTGCCCGGGCTTCTAGTGGGAAGTCGTGACCAGTATGGTACAGCAAGTCGGGCGTGAGAACAAATACTCGCCGAAGATATCGGCTAGTTGCCGCGCTATGTCGTGAATTGGTAGAAGTTGGAATTCATGGACAGGTCATTGGACCTGGTCTCAGTAGCTTAATGGCCTATGAGCTCGCCTTGTAACCAGAAGATCCTGGGTTCTAAAGCTGGCGCGATGGGTGCCTACCGATGAAGAGTCCCTCGCTAGGACGAAACGGCTGTCCAGTACACCCAGGTGGGTTTAGCAATGGTTCTCTAACCGATGTCATCTCACGATAAAATCCTCCAATCAATCAAAGCAAAATCCCTACAAAACCAATACTTGACAACTAGTCAGAATTTATTGATCAAATCGCTAGAGTGGCTAACATATTAACTAATACAAACCTGTAATCTAATACTGGATGTTCAATGGAGTCACAAGATTGAATTTCTAGCCTATGAATACTTATCAGTTGACAGAGCCCATATTACCTGAGACAGTTGAGACTAAAGACGATTTGAAATTAGTTGAATCATACAAATTGAAAAAATCTAGTCAATAATATAAGTAAAATAGAAGGAAATTTGAAGGTGATCTACCTGATAGATAGAGTATCAAGACTGAACAACTCCTGATTAGTTGCTTCCACTAAATGTAGGACGCTCAACAAGATAACTTGAAAAATTCTACTTTAGTAATGATCAACTAAGGAATTTTAAGTACTTTCGAAATCGCATTAATGCAGAAAAATACTTGCCATCGATGTTGACGAATAAACTAAGCCAAGCCATATAGTTATAAAGCGGTAGAGAAAAAGAAGATTAAAATGAAAATAGTGAATTATTAAAGATGAAGTAGAGACAAAAGACAAAATAATTAAGTACAGACTGTTAAGGAAGTGCATATTTTCATTTAAATAAAATCGAACTCAAGCGTATAACTGAATCGTCAGTGGTCCAGTGGTGGATTTCTCGCCAACTTATTACGTGGTCGGATGAGGTTCGATTCCCAGCTGAAGCACTCGTACACCTCGTCTAGCCGGCAGTAAGACTGGTAAAAAAGGAAAGTTGGGTGTGAGCCTAGCAACCTCATCCTGTGAAGAAAACTGCAACTGAAACCAGGGCTTCGTGTGCTCTTGCAAGTGTGTGTGGGTGGTTATAACCTCTCGGCTGCCCACACTGTGGATACTGGAAACTCGAAACTCTAGACTGAATCCCACTGTTCCACTCGGCACGCAAAGGAATGATGATGTGTAACTGAGACCAACTCAGATCATTATTCAATAATCAGTGGTTTCTACTGACAGAACACAATAAGACTAAAAACAACTACCTGAACTACAAATCGTCTTCATCATTTCAAAAATCAATCTGCATTTTACCACATAGATTGCTCCGATCCTATATGAAGCTTTGTTACCTAATATGAGGCCGTTTACACTGTTTTTCATTTCACAGATTATTACAAGATGAAATAACGATGCAGAGATTGAGAGAGCCTTTGATACTGTCACTGAAAAAATGGTAATTAGAGTGAATTTTCATTCAACACATTAGCTAACGAATCTCTCGGCTAATCAGGGTCTGTAAAGGTTGGAATAGAAAAGACAGATTTTCACCAGCGTCTTAATGAAAAAGTCCATAGGAACAAGAGTTATTCGCAAAGGCTATGCGCTGTGACACATTTCCATATATTACTTCATATGAGAGACTATACCACAATACCCGTGCATTAGTGCAGCCAAGTAATGTCTGAAGGTGAAAAGACATTAGGTGTCGAACTCAAATAAATGCATTTGCCCTACTAGAGAATTCAGATGCAACACATGACGTCAAGAACTAACTGTTTTCCCCTATCAGATTTAGTTATCCGGAGTCCATGTTGGTTTTCTATTATTATTATTATTGCTTCCTTTAATTCCTAGAGAAACATAGGACTTCAGCCACACGTCTCCACTGCGTTCGGTTCTCTCCTAACGATTTCATCTGGCTCCACGACCCCCCACATGCTTTCATCTCCTCTTCACATGACCTCCTCCAAGTCACCCTCGCACTGACGACCAACTCGCCGCTTCCTTTTCGAGTTCCACTCGAGGGGTTGTCTAGTGATGTCACTTGATTGTTTCCTCAGAGTATGGCCGATCCACCTAACTCCATTTCTTCCTGGTTATTTGTTGCACAATCAGTTCCTAGTTGGTTTGCTGATCTCTTCCGGGCGGCCATCTGATCTTGAGTATTGATCGAAGACAACTGTTAATGAAGGTCTGTAGTTTGTTTGAGATGCTCTTTACGACGCGCCAAGTCTCCGATCCATATAGTAGCACTAACTTCACATTGGAGTTGAAAATACGGATCTTATTTTTCATGTTAAGTGCTGTTGACCTTCACAGTCTTGAGAATAATAAAAGCTTGTCTTGTTTTCCGGATCCTCGCTTTGATATGCTCATCAGTTCTGTCTGTCTGTAGTTGAAACGATGCTTCCCAGATAGGTAGGTAGGTAAAGGAGGTTGTTTCTTTCAGGTTCCTTCCATTTATTCTGATTGTTGGTGTTGGCCAGGAATTTTCATCACCTACTTCTGTTTTCTCTATGTTCACCTGAAGTGAAGTTCTATCCTTGATGCTTCTTCTGCCAACTTGTCACTTTTCACTTGTATATCGTCCGGTTTGTGACAAGTCAGATATTTATCATCGGTGAAATCCAGATCCTCGAAGATTTTTGTGTGGATCCACTCTACGCTTGTCTCTGCGTTGCCCGCTGTCTGTCTGTCTGTCGCATTATCCAGTCTACCACAATCAGGAAAATCATTGGAGATAGTAGGCAGCCAGCTTGTCTTATTCCGTCTTCACTTCGAAGGATTCCGTAGGTTTCCCGTTGTGGATTACTTGGCATGCAGCATTGTCGTACAACTGTTGAATGAGATATATAATTGTCGGCGGCACCCCGTAGTTGCCAAAATCACCTCTCGATCGTCGAAGGCCTTTTCAAAGTCTATGAAGTTGAAATAGAGAAGTTGGTTGTGTATTCATATATAATTCATGTTCTGAAAAACTATGCTATCTAGTTCAAATTCTCTGTGGCTATCAAGAAAGTAGTCTCCCCTATTATTTAAACATTGGAACAATCAATACCAACCTAAGTCGATAAGTTCAACAACCTCAAGTTCCAATTCTGATTTATTTTTGCTACTAAATACTACCAACCAATGACTTCCAGTATTTCAGGCTTCTATCTGGTTCAACACGAATACTCTATACTAATGCGCCATCTACTTGCCACTAAAGCCTATTTCAGACGTTCTTTAAAGTACTGAGCTCATCAGTTCAGTTTTCCGCCTAATAAAAACGGTCTACCGGATTGTCTTTTTATGACAATTATTTCCACAAAGCCATCATGCATTTCCTACGGATTCTTTTAGTGAGTCTTAACAAAATTCTATCACCGATCAATATTGCTTCTGAACATTAGATGAATACACACACACAAACATACACACTACATGTCTTACTTTTCAGTACTTTCTCAAACAAAACTATTACTTATAGTCTAGAATAAGTTATTACTTAATCAATTCAGTGTTCAGACCGATTTGAAATATGAAAATACCTGACTGGTTTCAACATAGAACTTTGCACCAATGTGCAGCAGTTCAAGTCGCCACACTTCACTTAGCACACAAAGCCAGAGAAGAAGAAAGTAAAAAGAAACACAAAATAGAGACAGTAAACAGGGATATGAGGCAAAAACAATAGTAATATCGAATAACAATATAGTTTCATTGGAAATTATAAGTCACAGGAAGTGGATGCATCTGCACCAGCCATTGAGAATGATTTCGAGCCATATCATCCATTGTTTCCAACCATTGGTTTTTACCGTCCTAAGGACCCCAACCGGTCAGAAAGTCTACACCTGCCTACGTGGCTGGCTGGCTTAAACTAACTGTTGTGGATTTCATTGACAGATGAAGCCATGTTTTGGTTTGACCACCACTAGCTGGCACTTTTCCGGCCTGATCATATGTCAGCTAACATTGTCCATCGAGGAAGGCGGTGGCTTGCTGGTGTGCATGCGTAATACACATTCTAACCATCTCAATCGATGTAACTTCACAACCTCGTCTGTTGATCCCCCCCCCACTTTACCTAGCACTCGACCGATGCCTGACCTCAATATTGCTCACCCTATACGGAAGATAGAAAGCAGGCACCTATGATTAAATACAGCTAGCTTTTTTCATGTCTTCCAAGTGAAAATACCATATATAATGACACCGGATTTTAACGCATATAGAATATGTGAACAGAAAAAAAAACACGTAAAAAACTTGTAAAAACAATAAGATACATAAATAAAAACCACCCTACTGAAGAGAAAAAATTTTTATATACTTCGAAAAGTGATATGATATCATGTAATAAAGTTCATTTATAAAAAAAAAATTACAACATACATAAAGGAAATGATTTATGAAAACAGCGACATATTTAGAAAAATTGAATAAATAAAATAGGAATTAATATTGAATTATACATACACAGAATAATAATAAAAAAAGAAGAGATAAATGAGCAGTAGTTAAGCGAAAGACACAGTATAATACCATCTCTTGGAAAGGCTTACTTGGATATATATGGAGAGAGACAGAGACTGCTTATATACACATAAATAATACAAAGTACAAAAAAGCATATTACATAATACTTTAAAGATAGAAGGAGAGGTTTAAGTAAGCAGGAGGTACTAGAAATGTTGTGATGAACATCAATCACTTTACTACAGTCCACTTCTTTGTTTTTATCTTTGGCACTTTTAATGATTAGCAAAGGTAACTGCATGAATGTTCAGTGTGTTGTTCATGTAATCAAATTAGCCCGTCACCCCGTCGCCACCCCTCTCCCCGGTCATCGTCTTCATTTTTAGTAATAACTGATAAGCACTCGCTCTTAGATAGGAGTAACATGTGTTTAAGATGAGAATAATTTGATGACAGACAACAGAATACTACTATTATTCTGTGTGTAATTGCATATAAAAAGGATTGAAAATTGATTTCATCATGTGTTGATGCTGAGCGAAGGAATAAAGTCAAAAACAATAAGAATGAAGAATATATATATATATATATATATATATATATATATATATAAGTACTAGCTACTTTACCAGCTGTAGCAATCAAATTCCTTTTTTTTTCTTACAGACATATGTGTTGTATTGACACAAATATGAATAGTAGAAAAAGGAAGAAATGTACTGCCTGCCTAGCTAGGTAGGTAGGCAGTAAACTGGACGACAATTTGTTCATAAATTGATAACAGCTCAGATAAATGAAAAGTTTGATAAAGAAGAATAAATTACAGTTGAATAATACAGACTTAAGCATGTACAGATAAATGAGAGGAGAAAAACAACAACAATAACAGGAAGCTGTCAATACGAAATTGACACTTTTTATTTCATTTTCACGACCCCAGTTGATTATCCCCATCTACCCATCCATCCATCCATCTATTTACACATTTCTGATCAAAGGTAATCTATGCGGATGTGAAGCACGTATATGCGACCAAATTTGATAACGTTGTTTTACAGATTTACATATTTCTGCTGATTGAGGTATAAAACGTCTACGGAGGTTAGAATGATTCATCTTCAGGTTGTCAATTTCATTACTTTCATCCTTTGTAGGATATGTATCAACAGATAAGGAGTTATTTGATTCTGACCGGAGTCGATTGTGTAGTGCTTCGTTAGCTGCAGAAAAACTCGACCATATGCCTAAAAGATAAATTATGTTAAAAGAAAAAACGAGTGAATAAATTGAGAACACTTTCATTGGAGAACTTTATCATTTTGGATGTGTTTTTAAACAAAAAATTTTTTTTCTCTCGTTAACCTCAATAGCATATATAAGTATTCTCATTTAAGGACCAGTTAGATTTTGGCACAAAATCTGTTTCATTTCATTTCTAGGGTAGAACTTGTTTTGTTCACATGTGTCATATATCTTTTTGTTAGAACTCAAAGCAGCTAAATACGAAGAATTCATTTCAAAATGTGGAATTACAATGCAAACTAGCGTGTTTTTCCTGACTATTATGTTTGTGAAGACTGGGTCAATGAAATCAATACATATTTTTTGTTGTGCCCTAGGTATGAGGTTATGCATCGCCACTGACTAATTTAGTTGTAGCATGAGAGTAGAGTATTTCCTTCTGGGTGGTGACTCAATTCCGTTCAGAGCTATATTTTGTGCAAACGTGGAAACCTTTGGCTTGAAAGCTATACAATACATGTATCACTGAATAACAAGCGATATAGCTGTCAAAAATTTACTAAAACATCTGGTTTCTATAAAAACATAACTTTTATTGATTTGACAATCTAAGCCACTCTTGGACTCAACAAGCATAGCAAAGTAACTTTTCTAAAACCTTTGCAGTACTTTGTATTTTGGGGATTTTCACTCTTTTAAGCAATTTAGACATTACTGTTATCACACACCATAATATTGTTGTTTAATTTCATCATAGATGTACTAATCAAATTGACCCGAACTGACTTAAGCGACTTAGGGGCTGACTTGTTAATAGGGTACAACCTTTAGTGAGTCTAATTATACGGATGATACAGTCCTCTTAGGTGAAGACGCTGACAAAATGTAGAGTTTTCTGAACACCTTGAGCAGAAATCTTCAGGGGTGCTTGTTTGGTGTGTCATTAGCTCCCTTCAAGGAGTGGACTAGACCGACTCCTAGTTTAAAGATAGGCAGTGAAATCGTAGAGCGTGTTGATGCACCAATCCAAATGGACTGATCGTTGATGATGTCTCACCACGGATACAAAAGGCTCATATGGCATTTGTCAAATTAAGTCATCTCTGGTGTAGACGTGATGTCCGGCTACCAATCTAGGGTCGTGTGTACTGCGTACAAGTTCACTCTATCCTCCTTTGTGGCTATGAGACGTTACCATTGGAGGTGCAAGACATGAAAAAAAACTAGCTTTGGTGTAATATGATTAGTAATATTAAGCTAGGCGTAGAGTGTTAGGTAAACAGGGCAGATAAATCGTTGAAATTCCGAAGCTAAATAGATTGAGACGAGTAGGACATGTGTTACGCATGCCGAGCCATCAACTTCCTCAACGAGCAACGTTAGCAGACACAAGATTAGGTTGGAAATGTGATACCAGTGGTCATCAACCTATAAAGTATTTGATAGCTGTTTTGGACCACGTAGGGAGGTGTAAACTATTTCGTTGAGGTCAGTGGCATGCTAAAAACCAATGATTGGAGACAATTGGTGATATGGCTCAAAATTGTTCTCGATGATGGCACAGGTACATTCACTTTTTGTTACTATTCTTTATCCCATTCATTTATGCTTATTCTACTGCCTCTATTGACTTCCTTTCTCTACACTTGTGTGCTGTATGCTACGGCGACTTGAACAGCTACAATTCTGTGCAAAATTCTCTGTTGAAACTTGGTCAGTCAGTCAGTCATATCGTATAAGATCAATATTCATTCAAAAGTTGACCTAGTCATTTTTCAAACAGTCAAACAAAACGCCTTTCTCTTCTTACTTCCACTCTTTCTATTTTCTTCATGATTTAAAATTTCTACAAATGCTTTCAAACCATTACTACTAACTGCTATCGTATATATACATATAACTATATAACTATATATATATATATATTGTTGTTGTTGTTGTTTAAATTTAATACAAAATACAAATAAACACAGTTTGATAAACAAAAATGTCATGTGATCAACTATTTTATACCAGAAGTATACATATATGTATACTGTACAATTACACCTAGTGAAAAAACAAACAATAAAAATACCGATGAAATTGCTGAGGGTTTGTTTATTTATTTGTTCATTGAAATAATCAGAAAAATTCATTTCACTACCTTATTTGGACTACTAATCATGGTGTATCAATGGAAACACCTGTGTGTGTATGTGTTTGCATTATTATTATTCCTTTGAACTTCAACGGTACTTCACCATTTCACCCTGCTCTCTACAGCCTTTCTTGGCCGACTCCAAAGTTCCCCACAAGTTTTCATCTTCAAGTGTTGGTTTGTAGGGATTTCACTGATTGATTACCGGATTTCATCGTGAACTGATATCCGTTAGAGAACCATTGGAAAACTCACCTGGATGTGCTAGACAGCTAACTGTTCCGTCCTAGTTTGAGACTCTTCATCAGTACGCATCCACCGCCATGGTTCGAACCAAGAACCTCCTGGTTACAACACAAGCTTGTAGACAATTGGGCCACTAGGACACGATCCAATGGCCTGTTCATGGATTCCAGCTTCTGACAATTCACGACATAGCACAACCACTAGCCGATCACTTCAGCGAGTATTTGTTCTCACACCCTACTGTTCACGACTCCCCACTAGAATTCCAGGTAACTACCTACCTGAATAGGGCCAGTCGCTAGTGAGCGTCTCATTGATATCCAAGTGTTCGTGTGTAGGGATTTGGCTGATTGGTTATAGGATTTCATCGTGAGCTCGTCATTTAATCAGAAGGTCCTGGGTCCGAACTCTGGAGGTGGGTGCATGGTGATGGGGAGTCCCAAACTTGGGTGGAGCAGTTGGCTGTCGAGTACTCCCAGGTTTTCCAATGATTTTCTAACTGATGTCAGTTCCTGTTGAAATCCTGTAACCAAGGTTTCACTTCCTTTTCACACAATCCCATCCATGTTACCCTCGGAGCCACACTCAACTCGCAGTTTATCAATTCGGGTTCCACACGAGGGACTACTTGGCACGCGATGTCATTCAACGGTCTCCTCAGTATGATGCTAATCCACCCCTATTTTCTTCAGCATATTTATTGAACATTAGGATCTCGGTTGGTTCTTACCAGAGTCTCCTGTTGCTCATGTTTTTCGGTCATCTGATATCTTCATTATCAAGAGAAGGCAGTTGTTGATAAATGTCTGCAGCCTACTGAAAATGGTGTTGATGACGCACGTGCAGGGTCTCTTAACCATAGAGAAGCACTGACTTTTGTGGTGAAAACATGAATCGTTTCTTGCACTTGATAGAGAAGATTTCCACACAGATGTAAGCTCATCTTGCTTTCTTCATCCATGCCGATTGCAGGTGGATGAGGGATGCTGCCCAGATAGGTGAAAAAGTGACTTCCTTCAAATCTCTTCCGGTGATGAAGACTGGTGTTTGTTGTTGTTCTGTTTAAGCTACTTGTTCTACCAACTTGTTAGTTTTTGCCTACATGTCTTCAAGTTTATGAGACATTAGATACAAATCATCCATCAAGACACTTAATCGCCGATGACACTGAATAGCAACTGGATTATGTAGTAAATTGACAAATGTTGGATGTAATGGTCACGAAATCGTGTCATAACATGACAGGTGTGAACTGGATATCCTATACAGTTGTTGATGAACACAGCTGTAAATTCTCCAAGTGCTCTTTTGTCTTTAACGATTCTATAGCTGTTAGCCTGTGATGAAAATCACTACCGTAAGATGAAATAATTCGATTTCAAAATCTTTAATTATATTGGATTAACTATCAAGATTTACTGCAACCTAACATATACGAAAAGGTGACAGGAATGTTTTTCACATACAAAATTACACTTATATTTCACTGGTAAGTTTCTCCACCTGTATTACATAATTGCACTGATAAGTTTATATATACATATAGTTCACTAATGTTCTTACCTGCACCAACACCTGCAGAGATCGCTGCACCTACACAACTGCATTCTTCAGTACCACTACGTTCAACTGGAATCCCGATTACATTTGATATGCGTTGAAGCAGCCAGTTTGAACGGGCTACATTACCGTTTACATAGACAACTGATGGAGAAAGACCTGGAAAAGAGGAAAAATAAGTAAATAAAGTAAACAGATTGATGCAGTTTTCACTCATTGTAGTTATGTACTAAGAATCATCATAGTATTTTTACGATAGCCAACTATACTGTCCATAATTTAGATTTCACGAACTGAAATCATCGGGTTGTTATGGAGTACTGGACAGCTGTTCAAGCCTAGTTTGGGAGTCATCATCAGTACTTATCACCCATTGGGGTTTGGATTCAGGACTTTCCGATTACAAGGTAAGAGAACAGTTGCTCGCCAGTGACATTGGCTGGAGGTTGCACCATACATCGTGAATTGGTAGAAGTTGGCGTTCATGAGTCATTTAATCAGGCTGAATGGTCTATGGGCATACCTTGTAACCACAAGGTTCTGGATTCGAACCCTGGAGAGTGTGTGCTGATAAAGAGTTCCAAACTAGGACGAAACAACTATCCAGTACACTCTGGTTTTCCAATGGTTCTCTAACTGATGTCATATCGTGATCAAATCTGTAACCAATCAAATGCCTGCAAACCAACACTTGAGAACTTGGAATTTGTCAACCAGTAACTATTCGAGGCTTGAATGAAACCCTGATTGGTGAATCAGTTCAGAACTTCCACACAAACTTTGTCAGAATAGAGATATTAAAGAACTGCCATTTATAGCCTGTTTGGATGCGATAAAGCAGTTACAACTTTTTCCCTAATACAAACCTTATCGCTACAAAGTCTGAGTGTTCAACGTTTTGAAATTCTTCTTCCACAAACCAAAAAGGCGACACAGATGGTTTTCTGCTGCCACACTTATTTGTCAGCAGTATATCCTTACCCACAGTTATCCACTGTAAACTTAGCCGCCTACAAAATGATGGTAACTGCAACAGTATCAGAGACACTGTTACTAGTCACTGGCAGTGTTATTAATATTTCGGTCCGTAAGCTATTGAAATACGTTCAACTGAGTGATTATGTACTTCTTTGAATAAACGTAGGTCAATAAACTCTACCCTAAACTACCAAGCTCAGGGATGATATGCAGAAATATGAAAGTGTTAGTATAAATATCTTTTTAAAAAAAAACTTTATCTGCCTAATTTAAAGACACATTGTCACATGTTATTATTCAAGTTCTTTGACAATGTGAAGTGCAACATAATTTTACTTTGCATGAATACTGAAATCGACAGATTACTATTGTCCTGGTGGTATAAGCGTTTAAAATTCAGATAGGTAGTAAGCATGTCAGTGCACTGAACAATTAGCATGCATATATATATAATCAATAAAATGGAATACTGTAAATTTAAAAGACTGTGTAGTAGTTGTATTATTAGGAGTATTATGCATTTTTTACAGTTGTACGTCTACAGTATCTAAAAGAGTATATTCAATGGTTAAAGGTCATCGGCAGATCTAAGTTTCAAACTTATTGTTCGATGAATAACGCCAGAACTTTCTTTTCCTATGAAACTTTACGCCACTGTACACATGTAAACGGATTTCATTCATGGAGGAAACGAAAGATAAATTAGCGAATGAAATTCTCTTTATTGACGAAGTCATCCCAGAGGCTGTAGAACGATGTTTGCGTTTACTAAAGCACATACAGGTATACTATCGAATAATAATAATAATAGGCGGGAAATAACGTTATTTTATACAGTTACTCGGAAGTAGTTTCTAAGGAAAGGAAAAAGAATGATGTAATAATCAATTCAAACCAGACCTTTGTATGCATCTTTACCATGGTGTCACACTCCTTTCTTATTAAGCAATCCACCCTCTTACATTTTTCTTTTTGCGCATTTCAATAGTTGAATATTATTCTTCACCTTCTCATGTCAAGTGGACAGTCAACAAACTTAATTCTCTTCTAATAACAGTTTTCATCTTGTTGAATTTCAAACCTTTGCTTCTATTGTCTTGTTGGCTATTTATTAGTCAACTTTCACCTATCTTTAAATATCATTCCCAAGTAACTGTACAAAATGATATCACAACCCCCCACCCGCATTAAATAAGGCAACTCAGTAGTGATACTTTGCTCGCCAAGGTAGTTGGGATATGTTAACCTAACTAGACACTACCATTCTTAAAGAAGTGGGGTCATATGGGAAAAGAGTGGTAGCCGTGGTAGTCAAACCAAAGAATGACAACGAATAATAACGGTGGATAACTAGCGATTGAATCATGTAGGAAGGTGGAGAAAGCTTGGTTACAGTCCTCGAGATGCTAAGAACCAATAGTTTGAAACTTATGATCAAATGGTCCAAATCCAATCATAACAACGGCGTCGATTTATTCACAGTATCATTATATTTGTGAATAATTTTTCAAAATATGCTAACCTGAATTTAAGCATTATTGTGTAAATTCCTACATTAACTGAATCATTAGTCAATCAACTCGACAATCACATCGGGTTGAGAAGGTAACTCAGTTGATGGCGAAACTCATTCTTATTTGCATCTCGGATGTAATCTGTCAGTGTATATGTACAGACCGCGACCATAGTGTAGCGGTTATCATGGCTGCCTTCTAAGCAGTCGATCCGGGTTTGACTCCCAGCGGTCGCAAGAGGTTTTGAAATGACTATTCATCAGCAACAGGGATCTCTGGGAGCGAAACGATTGCGAAACAAATAGGCAGGAAGAAATGGAGATGGATTGGCCATACGCTGAGGAAACCATCAAGTGACATCACCAGACAAGCCATCGCTCGAGTTGAACCCGAAAGGGAAGCGGCGAGTTGGTCGTCAGTACAAGGATGACTTGGAGGAAGTCATGTGAAAAGGAGATGAAAGCATCTGGGCAGACTTGTAGTGGGGTGAAAAAGTTGTCAGAAAACAGAAGGCAATGGAGATGCGCAGCTGAAGCCCTATGTTCCTCTAGGAATTAAAGGATATAATAATAATATAATAATTCATCCACCCCCTCAATCGGCCACATACACACCACACACAGACACGAACACTGCTCTATACCACTGAGTATTCCTCCCACACACACACCAACTCACTAGACAACTCTGTTCACCTGCACAATTTTGTGCGTCGGTGGCACAGGGGTTAGGACACTCGCCGACCATGCACATGGTTCGAAGTTCGATCCCCGGCCGACGCACTCATTTACCTCGCTAAGCCAGAAATAATGCTGGTAAAGAGGAGAGGTTGAGCATGAGGCTAGCAACTTCATCCTGTAAAAGCAAACACTGCTAAAGAAACTTCAAGCCTCTAGCTTGAAACCCTATGTTCCACTGGGAACGTGAAAGAAAAATTATTATATTATTAAAATATGTAGAGAGGATGAAAAGACAACTGTTCTCTTGGTAGTTAATTTCCCCATTCTAATTGAACCTTATAGCTTAACAGTAAATTGATAGGTATCCAGTCGACAGAAGATGCAAACAAGTGTAAAAAATGATTAAAACTGAACAAAAGTTTACACGTGTGTGTGGATAACAAGGATGGAATTATCGCACTAGATTGGGAAAAACGGTAAGAGACAATAAACTCTACAATGCAGTATCCTTGTTTATATTCGACAATATTCAGTCAAGTTAAAGATTTTTCAGTGAATTACAGCTTTCACGGTTCATATAAGAACTAAATAACTATCCAGATAGCCAAACCCCGAGAATTTGACAAACAAAAAACTGGTAGTAGGTGTAAGATAAGCAACCATACACCAGAAAAGTTAAGGGTTAAAGCATTATCGAATAAAACAAGTTTGATGGTCACTTCTCTAGTTATTCAGAGTGCATGATATTTATGTAATCAATTCAACTGCGCGATTTTGAAATGCACTGTTATCACACTTGTTTATTTTTGTTATTGAATGAATAGTAAATTATATATATATATATATATATATATATTGCTTACAAAAGATAACACCCTGTTGTATGAATGAGGATTCCTTAGACAATCAAATATTGTGCACAAGTGGAGTATGATTACTGAACATCAATGACTTGAAGCGATATATGAGACGAAACTAGCTGGAGGTCAGTTACGTACATTATTTGAACGAATATGAGCTTATTTGCTTACTGACCTCAACTGGACATAACTCACATAATAGTCTTAATGGTCTACGAGCTAGCTTGCCTTGTAACTGGAAGGTCCTGGGTTCGAACCCCGGTGGGTGCGTATTGATGAAGAGTCACAAACTAGGACGAAACAGCTGTCTAGTACTCCCAGGTTTTCCAGTGGTTCTCTAACCAATGTCAGCTCATGAAGAAATCCTGTAACCAATCAAACAATTCCCTACAAACCATAGATCGAATTTCAATGAGATGCTCACTAGCGACTGGCCCTATTCAGGTAGGTAGTTAGTTACCTGGAATTCTAGTGGGAAGTCGTGACCAGTAGGGTCCATCAAGTCGGGCGTGAGAACAATTACTCGCTGAAGTGATCGGCTAGTTGTCACACTGTCATGAATTGGCAGAAGTTGGAAGTCATGGACAGGTCATGGGATCAGGTCTTAGTGGCATAATGGCCTATGATCTCGCCTTGTAACCAGAAGATCCTGGGTTCGAACCCAGGCGGTAAGTGCGTACTGATGAAGAGTCTCAAACTAGGACGGAACAGTTGGCTGTCCAGTACACCCAGGCGGGTTTTCCAATGGTTCTCTTACTGATCTCATCTCATGGTGAAAGCCTGTAACCAATCAATCAAATCCTCACAAACCAACACTTGAAGCTCACATAATTATTGTATGGCCACCTATCCTACTAGGCCTTGGCCTGGACTGTAAAACTAGTTAACTCCTATGCATGACTCACCTTCAACCTGGTGACGAAGCTTCTCCTAAGGCCGCCTTAACTAATGAAGGAAGAATATAATACTCATTTTTGTACTAGGATGCATTTAGGTGAGGGGATGGACAGACTTCAGAAGAAGAGTACAGCAAGCCAGTGCAATGTAGTGACCACACGCTGACCCATTGTCCACGACAGCCGTGTTTAATGTCAACCAGTAGAGATAAACAAACTGATTAGTCGGGATGAAATGTTTGAAGTTAAAGCGAATTCATAAATTTCTATAATCCCCTACATGGTTTCGTATGATCCATCTGTCAGACGGACCTTGTACGCAAAAGCAAGATACACAACATAATAAATATTGTTTTTAGGTCTCGCGCAATTTTTCCATTGTTTGCAGTCTATGATCGAACAAACACGACGTAGAAGACTGTAAAACAGGTGGTGAAAATTGTTCAGTTTGGTTCATTAAACAAACTAAACAGTGGCGACAAAGACGTCTAAAAAAATTTCACTCACCTGTTTGTTTACGACAATTTTCCAGCATAAATCTCGTAGTGAATGCAATTGACTCGACTACAACACGAGCAATAAGTAGTCTATCACGAGACTTTGAACAATCCATGCCGATAATAACGCCACCTGGTCCATGAATTGATATCTTATTAGATTTAAATAGTCCTTTCGAAAGTATATTTTTTTGTTGTTTAAGTGAATCCATTGGTGATGGGATATAATATATATTTTCAAGAGTGGCTTTTTCATCTAAACCTATAAAATAAATAACAACAACAACAACAACAGAGTATTAAAAGAAAGTGGATCAACTCTTCAAAATATTGGATATTTTTTTAAAGTTTGATTAGGGGTTGATATCAATTACAGAACTATTGAAAGACAGGAAGTACTGGACAACTACTTCGTCCTTGTTTTGGGACTCTTCTGTAGTACGCACCCACGACTTTATCGTGGATCAAACACAGGACCTTCAGGCTAAGAGGAAATCTTGTTGACCACTGGAAAGAATCCGATAGCCCACCAATCAATTCTGACCCCTATCAATTTGTGATTTTTAGCCTCACCACCAGACAGTGTTATCGATGAGTATTTGGTCCTCACACTCGACTAGGTGGACGCCATTGGTTACGACTTTTCGCACATGGTCCGAGGTTCGATCCCCTACCGACGAACACCTGATATCTATGGTCGGCCTGCAAAATTTGGGCTACCGATATCCATGCTGAAAATTCCATCCTTCTACCAAAAATACAGTGTGGAATCAAGGTGTTATCAGAAATAAATAAATAAATAAATAAAAAACTCAAGGCAACTTCGTCCTGGATCCAGAGAGGTTATGAGTGTGCATACTGATGGACATTCCCAAACTAGGACAAACCAGCTGTCCAGTACTTCCTGGTTTTCAGTAATCACTCTAACTAACATCAATCCATGGCTAAACTTGAGACCAATCAAATCCTTGGAAACTACCACTTGAATATTGGATATCCCCAATGTCAGAGTCAAAACAAGAAACATAAACAGGTAATATTGTTTTCAACTAGATCTCCTCTAGGCTTTACTTTAACGTACATAGCTTTCTATATAAAGCATTAAGCAGATGGGGATAAGACATTCATCTAAAGTCTGATTATCTATTCATTTCATCTCTAATATGACATAACCCATAATTTCAAAAATTTCTATCTGATCTGATTATTGAAATGTTTACATTATCATGCGATCTCCACTATTCTTATCGCCATCTGCGTTCACAATTTGTAATTTGGTTATCACTAACAATATCATTATTGTTACTGTCTAATTTACATTTACTTATATTTGATCTATGAATTTATAATCATTTGATTAAAATTGTATGGTCAAGTTAAAGAAAAGCGATCCAGGGGTGTGAACGCACCAATAAATTTGAATGCATACTGCTCACTGGTTAATGGGATCTATCATTATTATAGCGCCACTGTGAACGCTGTACACGAGTTGAGGTTCAAACTTCATCCGGATCTCATTTTTAAGTACTGTTTGGATAGTGGGTTGATAGCTAGTCACGGTTACAATTAGGGTTAAGATAAGGATTAGAGTTTGGGTTAGGATTACAGCTACCACTAGAGTTAGGGTTAGGAGTATTTCTAACCTTAGAACTAGAGTTAAGGTTAGGATCAGGGTTATAATGTTTTATTTTCACTACCGTTGTATCCTTTCAAAAAGACTCTAGAAGATTTGGATTTCGCAGATGATTTATGCTTAATAATGCCACACAAACTCGAAGACTTACAGGTAAAAAAAACCCAACGAATTGGCTAAAGAAGCAGCGAGGACAAGATTCCGGATGGATATAGAGAAGACAGAGGTGATAAAGATAACCACGCACTAACAGCAACAACAACCAGCACCAATCATCATCAACAGAAGAGATTTGACAGGGATTACTTCACGTATTTAGGCAGCCAGCACTGTTTCAACACCACATGCCGGCGGAATGAGTGAAGATGTCAAAGCTGGCCAGAATCGGAGAGACGAGATACGCTTACAACAACCTGAAATCAGTTTGGATATCTCCTGCACCGATTCAGCATAAAGAACAAGACTAAGATTTTCAAAATAAATGTGAAGTCGGTCCTTCTATACAGGTCAGAAACATGGCGCTTGCGTCACGAAAAGAATTTCCACCAAGTTACAGCTGCCTCCTTAGCTGGCTCCATATTGAAGAGTGAATGGCCAACCAGCCAGAAAGAATTACCAACAAGAAACTCTGGCTGAGAGTAAACCAACCAAAAGCTGATCGCTCCACAAATATGTAGGAGAAAGTGGAGATGGATCGGGCCTACATTGAGGAAGCCATCGGATGACACCGCGTGTCAGGCCATCGCTCGAGTGGAGTCCCAGTGGGAAGCGATCAGTGAGTCGTCCTAGGGTGACATGAAGGAGATCGTGAGAGGAGGAGATGAGAGATTATGGGCAATCATGGAACAAGGTGGAGATGTCTTGTTGAAGCCTATGTTTCACTCGGAACCCAAGGTAATAAGTATAATCTTTGTTTCTCTGGTAAATAAACAGCATTTTTATGTGAAAGAAAACAAATACCGGCTATTCTAACTGGTCGTTGCCTCAACATCAGTCGTCCATTCGCATTTCTTGGATCATTACTCTTTGACTTTGCCCGATTGTATATATAAAGCTGTGTACTTTAGAACAAAACCTAAGGAAGATATAATTGAAGACAATGTTGACATTTGTAAAAAAAAAATTGTATTTGTAAAATGTCAGCCAGATTGACATGAGTAATTCCAACGTTTCCTGCGTCCGGCAATCTGGTCCGAACTTCTTCAGGGAAAAATTAATCGAAATTAACATAACAGAGGTTTATATATAAAATGAACACTTCTTGTTTTTCAAAAACTTCGTTCAATCATAATTCATAAAACAAGTATCAACAAGTATAATAAACAAAATTGTGTATGAGTTGTGATCAAAATTTGACCTCGTACTTACAAATATTGGTCTACCTTTGTTAAACACTTTAAACAGAGTGTGCATGCGTGTGTGGGTAAACAGTTGTAAGACATTTCTTAACGTCTCCATAAGAAGATATAGACAGTCAGGAATTTTGACAAAGTATTATTAATTAGTGATACATATCCATTTTTATTTATTAATCAGGATTTCTTATGCATCAGCTAACATTACACTTTCATGTCTGTTCAAACAGTTAGTATCTAGAATTTTATGATTAGACGTATTTTCAAAATTATGGTGTTTAGGATCACAGTTTAGTTTAAGCACCCTGTCGAAATTATTGCTTTGTCTTCTTTCTGAATATTGAGCTGCTTTATTCGACCTACTGGAGTTGTCAAGTGACTCGATAGCTACGGATTTAGGATATGCAATTTGTTGCAGACAACGGAGAGTGGAAACACGATGATTGTGCCAATTACATAGTTTCTTTGTTAATTTAATTCAATTGCAAAATAATTCAAATGAACTGTCGTCAAGATTTGACAGATGTTAAGAAATGTTTTAAAACTGTTTACCCACACCCATATACACACTGTGTTTAAAGTTTTATTGAATTTGAGATTTTCCCGTCGATTGATTGGACCGAAGTGCTCGGTTTCAGGTTGACATGTCGGTGGAAACATCATCACTCACTGAGAAATGCACGTATATCCAGATGACGAGTCCCAAATAGGACGAAATGAGCATCCTGGATTCCACTGCTAGTCACCATCCACCAATTAAATACTGTGTTTAAAGGTAGACCAATATTTGTAAGTACGAGGTCAAATTTTGATCACAACTCATACACAATTTTGTTTATTATACTTGTTGATACTTGTTTTATGAATTATGATTGAACGAAGTTTTTGAAAAACAAGAAGTGTTCATTTTATATATAAACCTCTGTTATGTTAATTTCGATTAATTTTTCCCTGAAGAAGTTCGGACCAGATTGCCGAACGCAGGAAATGTTGGAATTACTCATGTCAATCTGGCTGACATTTTACAAATACAATTTTTTACAAAATTTCTACTTCTCAATCGGCGCCCAAATATTTTAGAACTCTTCTGTCAAATCTTGACGACAGTTCATTTGAAGACAATGTTGTTTGCTAAAATATCTCGTTTTAATTAACTTTCTACCATATATCTAATACAAAAGAAAAGGTACCTGTCTTTACAAGATATATCAACACATGCTTCAACTTTCATCATGCATTGAATATGGTATTCTTTAAGACCTGTATGGGTCTCATATCACGGTGATCATAAGTATAAAATGACTGATTAATAAATTGAATGAAGCAGTGAAATTTTCTCTCAATCTATTATAAGTAGACTTGTAGTAAAACTACTCACAAAAGTATAGAAAAACGTCATCATTTCACTATTTTACACTAAAAAGTCTCCACCGAAAAATCAGAAGATGAATAGTCATTAAACTAATAAATAAGTCTATTCATTTTAATGTAAAAGTAAACACGGTTAGAGAGACCACTTATATAGAATTTGTACAGCTCAACAAATCAGTGTGTATTTCTTAGCGCTGACCGAATTCTGACGGTCAGCTTTGTAGTACACTTTGAACTAGTTCTGAGTGCTTTAATTGTGGTCGGCAGAATATAAGCATAAAACTCCATTATGGATAAAAAATTTTATTTTGATAAAATCACACAGTATTGTACAGTAATATTTACTAATGACATTTTGAGCACAAATTATTACTCAATCATGTCAAGGCACTCACACAGCTTTGTTGCTTCATTTATATACATGGGTAAAAATTGATTAGACATTTGCATAAAATCAATATAAAATTAGGTACATTCGGAAAGAATATTAATGTTATCAATAAAATACAATCAAATGGGAAATAAGATTTTTTTATAGTGAAAATAAGTAACTTGTTAGAATGTGAATTGAATACATTTTAACATTATTTATTATCCTCTGATTCGACTGATAATAGTATCTTCCATATCTCTGTTATTTGCGTTGAGTCACTTCTATTGCATGTGTTGTGTTGGGTGTGTAGACTCGATGAACCAGGATTCAGTAATCAACCTCTCTTTCCACCCGCTTGTATTACTTTTTAGAATTTTGACTCTGACCCACCCTATTGTGTGGTTGTGTGTTAGTGCATGCAGTGCAATTGCTGAGTTTTTTTTTCTAAATTACTTATCTTCGTGGGATCAATCATCCTAAGTTTAGCTAAATTCTTATGTTCTGGTAATCTCACTCCTTCTGATCTGCTAGTTTAATCTATGTAGTTGACTTAATTCACAGTCATTACAAGGAATTTTTTTGATGTGGTTGTGTTCTCTGAGCCACCAAGGAAAGCACAAAGAAAATCGCCCGACCATATATAAAGGATATCTCAGAAATCACTACAAGACTCTTCAAATCTCTAGGAATTGATGTCGTACACAAACCAACGAAGTCGCTTCAATCAATTCTATGTCAACCAAAAGACTCAACAGCGAAAGAAGATAAAACCAACATCATCTACAAAATAAACTGTAGCAACTGCAAAAAACACTACATTGGCCAAAGTGGACGTCCCCTTCGTCTTCGTATCCACGACCATAAGCTAGCCGTCAAAAGACATGATATCCAATCCTTCATATCACTACATACAGACAACCACGAACATCAATTCGACTGGGACAACGTTCAAATATTAGACGCAGGAAACAAAAAGAATGGTAGAGAATTTTTAGAAGCTTGGCATTCCAGTGAATCATCAATCAACAGACACATCGAGATAGACTAAATTTACCAACACATAAGTAGGAAATGTCACACACAAAGGGTCAGAGTTCAAGTCAAAGAAACAATCAGTTCCAATACAAGTAACCTAGAAGGTGTGAAAACACACAAAAACAACCAATCACGTCCGAGGTCACCGAACAGTAGAGATGATTAATAAACTCGTGGAGAAATCTAAAAGCTCACTTCAAATTGAAGTATGCGCTGAAGATGTCACCCAGTAGGGTGATGAAAGCTTCGCAAATTAACCATCCAGCTCAGAGAACACAACCACATCAAAATCATCCACCTGAGCTACAAATCTTCTCTATCATATCTAAGGTATTTTTTAAGTTTAATTATTGTGTTTAATTGGTTCCACCGGGTCCTGTAGCCTACAGAGCTTGTCTCTTATTTCCCATCTGACTGTATTTTATCTTATATTGATTTTATGCAAATGTCTAATCAATTTTTACCCATGTATATAAATAAAGCAACAAAGCTGTGTGAGTGCCTTGACATGATTGAGCAATAATTTGTGCATGAAACATCATTAGTAAATATTACTGTTCAACACTATGTGATTATACAAAAAAATTTTTTATTTTTTTTTATTTCAGCTTGATTCCACAGTGTATTTTTGGTACAAGTATGGAATTTTCAGCATGGATATCGGTAGCCCAAATTTTGCAGGCCGACCATAGATATCAGGTGTGAGTTGGCAGGGAATCGAACCTCGGACCATGTGCATAATCGGCGAGAGTCCTAACCACTGTGCCACGGACGACGCACATCTTATCTATAATGGTGTTTTTTTGCCAAAGAGTATTCACAACCACTAAAGAACAAATGATCCATCAGAAATTCGAATCTATACTGTAGTCAAAGCCGTTACGATTAAGTTAACCAGTTAGTTATTGAAATTTTTACAATTGTATTGGATAGATTAATCGGTTACCGTGAAAAATAGCCAACATTATGGCTTTCCAGCTTTTAATCCTGACAGACCAACTAGTGAAACAGTAGTGAAAAATTAACTGAGAGAATTTAGCCTGATGACGCATTAGAGACGGGACTTTGTTCATTTTGAAAATAAAATACACCCAATTAATCCAGAAATTGTAATCAGTAATAACGTGTAAATATCACTATTCTTAGAAACAAACAATTTCGATTCAAAGGCCACAACATGTAGAACGTGACAAAACACGTTAACAAAAAAAAACAGCTAATAACTTCATGTCTGCAACTTTATGATAGCCTAGTAAATTCAGCATTGAGTGAATTTTGAATCTCAAAAACTTAATCTTACCAAACTTGCATATATGCCAGGCTAATGAGTGCCAAAAGGGGACAAAACTTCAGAATGATAAATTTTGAACAGTAAGCATAAGACCGAATTCGCCTTGTAACCTGAAGGTCCTGGGTTCGAACCCTGGCGATGGGTGCATACTGATGAAGAATCCCAAAATGGGACGAAACAGTTGACTGTCCAGTACTCCCTGCAGTTCTTCCAATGGTTTTTTAACCGGTGTCAGCTCATGATGAAATCCTGTAACTAGATTATTCAGCTGGTTGTCATCGTCGACTAAATTGTCTAAGACATACTGTATCGAAATTCCAAGGCGAGAGCGCTAAGCAAGGATGTCTGTCTGTCTATCTGGATTCAACATAGAACTTGGCACCGAAGTGCAGCAGTTCGAGTTGCCACGTTCCAAATAGCACACAGAGGTAGACAAGAAGATGAGTGAAGAGAATCAATACAGTCTGACAAGTATAAGAGTGAAACAGAATGGGTAATGGTAGAAAGGAATATGAAAGATTACAGAGACTGAATACATCTGCACCACTGACAACGATTTTGAGCCAAGCAAGTATGCCTATATATATATATATATATATATATATATATATATATATATATATATAAGACTAAGACGCTTAAATGAACAAAGTTATCTGTTATTTATAAATGAACGAACCCTTTACAAAAAATAATGAAACTTGCCAAGATGATCACCTTCTAAAAGCATTTCCTCCAAGTCTGAATATTTAAGGAAGACTTCTGAAAAGAAAATGATATAGACTATTTAAAGCATGAAGAAAACATAAAACTAATTATTATTTACGAATAAAATAAAAGACAATTCAACGAGGAAAATTTTCCTCATCAACGACGGCATCATTCATACGACCTTTCAAGATGAATTCGTCGATAAACAAAGTTTTTCTCACTGAAATGTCCTTAATTTTCTTCATAACTCAGTGGTTAATTAATATTTATACGAGAAAAAATTTCTACAATGAAGCGATCATCAGGATGAAAAGAATTTCCTGCATGATTTGCCTCACTCTGATGATGACATGAACTTTGTTAATTGTATGCGGATGATCTAACTGTTTCAAGGCTTGTTAACTCTCAGTTAGACTGCGCTAAGATGAACAACTTTCTATAAGAAGTCGGCAAATGGTCTTAAACTAAATCTTTCCAAATGTTAGACTGTTAATTTTAGTTTCCAATGTAAAAGAAAGGTTAAATGAAGTTGTTAAATTCAATGACCGTTGTAAAAATGATGATAGTAATATAGGAATCAAGTCTGACGTTGAGTATCTTGGACCAATTCTTTCTTCTGACCTATCCTGGTCTTCCCACGTCTTAGAGATTGCTAAGGAAGTATTCAATCTGACTTTTGATATTAAGAAGTTAAGATACTGAAGTATAACTCAATTCCTCTTCTTACAGTTTGTCAACTCTTGCATCTTACCTATTCTTCTTTACTTTTCACCCTTATTCTTCACTGGATTGTTTAAAAAAGACTATGTCATACTTCGTAGAACTCTAAAGATTGTTAGTAGGGCGAGTGGTATCCATATAGTTGAAATCGTCATTGATAGGCACTTGATTCCCTGCAGTAAATTTGCTAAAGGAATTTCGTCAGAATGTTGGCATCCACTTTACCCTCAGCTTTCACTTTGCGTCTCCTCAGGTAAAACAAGAAGTCATTTCAAAAGGCTTTATGCACCACGTACGTCTAAGTATAAAAATTCCACGATACCATAGTTGGCCCGTATTTTATGTGATGAAAATAGTGTCACGGACCAACTAACTAGCCTTCTTAGTCCTAGTAAATAAACGATTTTCTCCATCCTTATAACATCACGCTTTGTTATTATGCTTCTTATAATTATAATTATAATCCTTTTATTTTTTTGTCATTTTTCTCATAAGTGTGAACATCGTTTAAGCTCTGTAATAATTGTTAGTTTTTGTTTTTCCCTTCAGTAATAGAACATTGGATTTTATGCTCCAAAACATGCTATAATTTCCAAACTGTATCGACAATACTGTTTGAAACAAACCTACTGTTATTATTATTATTAGAGTTATTAATCTTATTTTGTACTTTGGACATTTTGACTTCATTTCCACCGTAAATGTGGACAATTTCCTGTGTATTTCGAGTAAATTAGAGGCAATATTGTGACAAAAGCTGAGAATTCCACTCTGTAATATGAGTACTGCTTTTGGAACAAAGCAGATTATTATTTCAATTGAATTCTAGATTTTCCCGTCGATTGATTGAACCGAAGTGCTCGGTCTCAGGTTGACATGCCGGCTTCTTGTGCAGATGCTTAGACAATGTCTAGGCATTTAATTAGAATTTAATTTGTGGATGGTGACTGACTAGCAGTGGAATCCAGGATGCGCATTTCATCCTATTTGGGACTCGTCACTGAATGTACCCGCATTTCCCAGTGAGTGATGATGTTCCCACCGAGGCTCGAACCCAGTGCCCATTGGTTGAAACGCCAAAGCGTTATCCACTAGACCACTTGGGCCAAGTGGTTAAATTATTATTATTATTACTATTAGAATGTTATACATAAAGTTGTTACTTTCAAAGGTGACTATATTAACAACATTGTCTCATGACCTAAGTACTGATGGCATACTACTAAATCATACAGTGTGCACACTATAATTATATACTTTCCAATTTTAAATATTTATAGAAAATCGAGACAATAAAGTTATTTTGGTAAACAATATTTATCTATAACCAAAAACTGACGATACCTTTAAGAGTAGCAAATGTGACTGAAGTGCTAAATGATACCAATTCGAACACAGGAAGTGTGGCGTTATAGAGATTGATAAGAATCGGTAAAATATGAAACCAACATTTTAAGTTAATGGTTGCAGAGGTAGAAGTGTGTATTCCTCAAATTTAGATTTAGTTTACGTTGTGGATAATGAAATAACCTCATTGGACCATTCGCTTAACCTTGGATTAGTTGCCAAATAATCAGAACAACCAATTCTCCTCTAATATAGTCAAACTTTAATGTGACTAATAATGCATATATATGATTTATTTTTCCCTGATAAACGTCCGTTATCCAGTCTCTTATCTTCTAACGTTACAGAAGCGCCATGAGATTTTCTAAAATCCACTGCCAGTAAACAAGGTACCTTCATCCATACCTAACATCTTGTTATGTGCAAATACACAAGAATAAGTTATTCGTCAATGCCCCAAAGATACTTTAGGTTTAATGCATTTGAAAGAAGCCATAATGTACTTTGACTCCCATCATCCACTGAAGAAGGTTGGAAGAAATCATGCTAAATGGATAGGGAAAGTTTATGAATTCGATGACTATCGATCTAAGCTGCGTAGATAAGACTAAGTATTTGATGATGACATAAATAAGTTCCAGAAATGTTAAACACTTTGTCATCCAATGAATTTCACTTAATCCCTAACTTCTTCATCATCTTTTCATGTGATATTTCTAACCGCTTTCTATTTCTCCTCGCTGCCTAACTCAGGAACTTTAAAATTAATTCAAGTTTTTGCCCATAGATTGATGTCAGTTAGAGAGCCATCAAGGGGTTGGGAATACTGGTCAATCAGCTTGACCTCGTAACCTGAAGGCTCAAGGTTCGATCCCTGGTGGGGTCTTAGGTACGTACTGCTGAGGAGCTCTGAATTAGGAGGAGACAGTTGTCCAGTGCTCCCTGGTCTTCACTGGTTCTCTAGCTGATATCAATCCGTGAACAAACCTGAAACAAATAAAACTCCTACGAACTATCTCCTGAATATTATAAAAATACTTAGAATAATTTCCGCGTGTTCAGAAAATCAAAACAAAGTTATGTAAACCACAGCCTTTTCAACAGAATGTTGACTCGAATTTTATTAACCATCAAAGTATGTGGTTTAATAGTTCTGCTAAAGAAAATTCCGGTTTAAACAGCGAAGCGTTCAGGAAAATCTTGTTTTACCTTTCTAAATATACTGGAATTGTTTCAGGTAATTTTATGATAGTTCAATTTGACTTAGTGTTCAAATTATTCCAAAAAATTCGCAACATCTATAGTATACGTGTTTATACTCATGAATATATTCACCTCTATTGTTGTCTACTCTCGAGTATTGCTTGCCACTAGGTATGTTCAGATTGCTCCAGGAAAATAAAAAATTAAGAAAGAACAAAAAGCTTGCCTACCTTCTGATTGTAACCAATCAATAAGTGTACCGGTATTTGGATGAAAACATTCAACTAAATAAGTAAGATTATTAAGTTGAATAGATTTTGATGTAGACGGTAAAGATGATGAAGATATTGAAGAAAAAGAACTCTTGGCAGAACTTGTTTCACAACTTTGAAAACCATCATTATATGCATGACCAGATGCCCATCCAATAACAGGATAAAAGCCTATAAAACAAAAAAAAGTGACATTGTGTTCAGCATTGTAGAAAATATGAAAGTGAAACAGTTAAGTACAGGTAGGTGACTTTCACCCGGCCGATAACTGCCACCTTATCGCGGTGGTCGGGCTTGAATACTGTGATGACCCAACATGCTAAACTGACTGGGACTCTGTCCCTGCAGGTCCTACCATCTCAGGAAGGTTGTTTGGATAGCGGTTAAACTAAAAGCAGTTACCATGGGGTACATGGGCTCCAGTATCCAATCGGATCAAATGGCGTATGGACCCATATGGGTCACTGGGAACCATGCGAATGCAGCTCCTGACGCTACTCCGCTGCCTTGCGGATTAGACTCCAAGTCAAAGGCTCGAGGGGTGGTCCCTTAATAAAACCACGTGCTTCGGTCTGGGCGTCCGAGCAGTATCTCAGCCCTCACACAATGAATTGAATAAAGCAAAAAACAATCAATGTAACTTATCGCGTGCTATTATACGTGTTGCAGTTTCCTTCTTTCTTCCCTTCCCGATGATAGTTAACGAATACTGTTTGAACTTGTTAAGCATGACTGTTTCCCTTCCAGATGAAGTTCTTTATCCGTTCTCTACTTATATATTTTTTTCTTTTGGTCTATGTTGTTTTATTATTATTGTGTGGCGCATCTTTCTTGGTGCCATATTGTACCAAGTTTTTATGCGTTTAAATAAAATAAATAAAAATAAAATAGGTGACTTCCAGTGGTGGTTTTAATACTGCTCACAAATTAACAGCATAAAATGAATTCAGTTTATTTGCTGCCTTATATCCACTGAACAATCACAAATATGCAGAATTATTGCAAGAATAAATTAAGAAGTATACTTTGTTTTGGTGCGTCACCAAAAGCATCTCCAACCGGCACGGCAGAATTTTATCAACAGCTGCCTTCGCTCCATGCTTAAGATTAGATGGTTGCTCAGAAAGGATTTTTATTTATTCATCTAAAACATAAAATTGGTACAATATGGGCACCAGTCAGAAAGAATTGGTAACAAGGAACTTTGATTACGAACCAACCAAGAGCCTACAGCTCAACGAATATGCTGAGGGAAATGGTGATGGATTCAACCCACGCTGAGACGACTGTCGAGTGAAATCACGCACCAGGCCCTTAAGTGGAACATGAGTAGGAACAACCAGTTAGACATCCTTGAATGATATAGAGGAGATCGTGTGAGGAGGGAATGAAAGCTTATGGGTATTCGTGGAGCCGGTTAAAAAGGACTAAGGAAATGTGCTGCTGTTCCACTAGGAAAAATAATAATTATTATTATATACTTCCATGGTCGAACATAAACGAAAAAGTGCATATATAAATTAGGTAAGCCCCATACACGAAATGGATGTTAAATCCAACCGTTTAGTCGCAAACTCTTCTCAAAGTATTAGGAGGAAGAGCTGAAAATTCAATTCGCTTTCAAGTTATTGCACGTGCCAATAGGTAAGGTGAGTCAACAAGTGTAGTTGCACGAGATGTTGGATCGAAACTGGTTCACTCATTTCTCACAGAGACATTATACGAGTTGTACAGAAAAGTGATGGATTACGTGTTAGCAAGATCTATTAATCTTCGGGGTTTTTTTCCCTTTGTAAGATATGATCTTCCTTGAATGTAAATTAGGCGAACACATCCTTTTTTGACGGAAAATCAAAGGCATTAAAATAGACGACTAAGAATTAATAGTATTTTTCGATGTCACAATATTATATACTTAGATTGTAAACAAACTAGAAAAAGAAACCATGGAGTGATTACTCAGCAACCACAGACACCTTTCACAACACTCAAGTCGGATGCAATGCATAAACCTATTCCCAACAACGCATTTTCAATTCAACAGCAAAATATACGAACAAATTAAAGAGATACATATGGTATCACCCATTTTAGGCCTAACTGCAGATGCAAAGACTTGAAAACATAATCCTATCAAAGATCAAAAACCCAAAATTTGGATACGTTACTTGGATAACACATTCGTGATAACGACTAAATAAGCAACATCCTCAATGACATCAAATTCATAAGGGAAGAGGAATTCGAAGATAAAATTCCAGTTTTAGAGGTCTTGGTCAAGCGAACAACCGAAGGAAAATGTGAAACCCTAGTATGCAGAGAATTAGCTCGCACATCAAATATTCAATTATAACAGCAACAACAACCCAATAACACAAAAACAGAGTTGCATACAAACATTATTCAGGAGAGCCAGGACGCATTGGAGCACTTGAGGAAAATGGAAGAAAATACCTTAAGACAGTCTTCCAAAATAATGGATATCCAGGATTTCATTATGAGATGACATCGGTTAGAGAACCATTGGAAAACCCACCTGGGTGTACTGGACAGCCATTTCGTCCTAGTGTGGGACTCTTCAGGAGTACGCACTCACCGTCAGGGTTTGGACCCAGAACATCCTGGTTACAAGACCAGCTCGTAGACCATTAGGCCACTAGGACCCGATCCAATGGCCTGTCCATGAATTCCAACCTCTAACAATTCACGACATAGCGCGACAACTAGCCGATATCTTCGGCGAGTATTTGTTCTCACGCCCGACTTGATGTACCCTACTGCTAACGCGCAACGTCGTGAATTGGCAGAGGTTAGAATTCGTGGGCCATTGGATCGGGTCCCAGTGGCTTAATAGTCTACGAGCTCTCCTTGTAACCGGAGGGTCCTGGTTTTAAAACCCGGTGGGTGCGTGGTGATGAGAAGTGCCAAACTAGGACGAAACAGCTGTCCACTACTCCAGTTCTGGTTTTCCAATGGTTCTCTAACTAATGTCAGCTCATGATGAAACCCTGTAACCAATCAAATCCCTACAGACTAACACTTGAATAATCGATATCCACCAAAGAAATCTGCCCTCAACTCAACTAAGCAAAACAAAAGTACCCAATCAAAGCACATAGAAAACTGTCATGTCACATATAGAGAACATCTCTGGCTATCCAAACCTTTTAGAATTGATGTTGCACACACACCAACAAAATCAATTCACTCGGCTCTATGTCAACCAAAAGATTCAACAGCAAAAGAAAATAAAACCAATACCATTTACAAGACAAGAAAACATTATATTGGTCAAAGTGAACGCCCTCTTCGTCTTCGCATTCAGGATTACAAACTAGCTGTCAAAAGACATGACGTCCATTCACTCCTTCATAGCATTGCATACAGACAACCACGGGCACCAATGCGATTGGGATAGCGTTCAAATCTTAGGCAGAAGAAACACCAAAAACGCCAGAAAATTTCTAGAAACCTGGTATTCAAGTGAATCGGTAATCAATAAACACATCAACATAGACAAGACTTACAAATTCATAAGAAAAAAATCACATGAACAAAAGGTCAAACTTCAGGACAATGGAAACAATCAATATCAATACAAGTAGAAAAAGGGGTAAGAAAAAAACACACAAAAACAGCCAATCACGTTCAAGGTTACCGAGATAGATGACTAAACTCGTGGAGAAATGTAAAAGTTCACTTCAAATTGAAGTATGCACTGTGGATATTGCCTCGCGAAGCAATGAAAGCTTCGCAACTAAACCATCCAGCTCAGAGAACACAACTACACCAAAAACATACTTTTTTATGCCCAGTAGCTATAGTTCAGCAACTCGATTGAAAAATACTTCCAGATAATCTGTTCTGTGTACATATATCCTGAAACACTTCGAGTAGAAACAATTGCTAGTCGAATTCGTCTTTTGGAAATACCTTTATTGATAATAGTACCTCATGCCATGCGCTGGAAAAAAGCTGTTGTAGGTCAAATACGGGCCAGTAAGACAGTTTATTCTTCCTACTTTGCAGTATTACGCTACGATTCATAGAGCTGAAAATTTCTCACGTAATTATTTTATAACACAACTAATCGTCACAAGAAGCCATACATTCCGGTTAACTATCCCTCTATATTTAGATCCTGTGAAGACAGAACCTGGGTACACTGTTGCATAGATAGAAAAAGTCAGTGCTTTTTGTGTTACCATATAATGAAGCATGAATTCACCGAAATACAAGAAAAACGCTCAATGCATCAAAAATGGGGATGGCAGAATCAAATTACAAACAAACAAGAATAATTAGTTGATTGGTTGTTATTCACATGTGCAGCGTGCACACATCTGCAATGCTCTGTATATATTCACCTTAAGTATTAATTAAAACGACTAACAGAATTTGAATAAGGCATTTTAGAAGACAAATTTCGCGTGATGATATCATTTCGTAGTTGCTTTACAACTAACATGGTTTACAATAATAAAATAAAAAATGCATGATAATTACTCAGTTATATAAAATAAAAGTACATACTAATGACCAATCATACTTAAACAGGTCCCATGGTAGGCAAAGGTTGAAATGCTCAGAAATAAGCGACGTTTTCAAGATTGAACTTGAAAACTTGTAGACAACGTTTTCTTGACTCATCTAACTGACCTCTCCTCTCTACGCCTTTTTTCTATTTTGCTTATGCTCTTGGAAATCAGGAAATGTGAAAGTTAAATAACTTCCATAGTGAATGTGATTGTCAGTTGCTTCTTTCATTTCATCGCATTTTTTATTCGTACAAGAATACATGAGTATCAAGCTAACTATTTTTTTACAGTCCTCTAACCAATGCAATTTGAGTACAGTTAATTGTTGAGCCGGAAATGAGAGTGGATAAGTTTAACAGTGCTCATTTTAGACAAGTTATTTCAGCTTTCAGTAAGTAACTTAGAGAGATGAAAATTTTGAAATAAGCAGAAAACTTAGGCACTGTGGTAGAGTATAACTCTAGCTTCTTGACACATATAAACTCACTAGTAGAGGGAATAAAATTCACATCTGAATCGGAAAATAAACAAGGAGAATTAGCTATATTAGATTGTAAAACAAAACAAATAGAAGGTAAACTACACACTAGCGTTTATTAAAAGCCAACGTATTCTAATAGATATTTAACCTTTAATTCGTCTCATCCGTTAACTGTTAATTCAGGCTTAGTTAAGTGTTTAACAAACCGAGCAGTAGCACTAAGTAGTCCAAGAAAAGACCTGAATGATGAAATAAAACAGATAGAAGAGGAGTTGGTGTTAAATAACTATCCTATAAAATTCATTAGGAAGATCGAAAAAGGCCAAAAGCAAAATAAAAATATTTGTGAAACTAATAATGATAACATGAATAAGAAAGAATTTAAGTCATCTACTGTTACATCATATAAGGAGAGGACATCTGAAAACATACGTAGGATTCTTAATAAAGCAGGAATTAGGCTGGTGGTATTCAAACCTACAAACTCACTCAGAGACAAGCTCTGTAGGCTAAAAGACTCGGTGGACCCAATTAAACAAAATAACATAATTTACAAGATACCCTGCAATGACTGTGAGGTAGACCAACTACATAGGTCAAACTAGTACGTCGGGGGTAATCAGATTGTCGGAACATAAGAATTCAGCTAAGGTAAGAATGGTTGACCCCCCGAAGATAAGTAATTTAGAAAAAAGCTCAGCAATTGCACTGAATGCATTAACACACAACCACAAAATAGGGTGGGAGAGGGTTAAAATTTTAAAAAAGTAATCTAGGTAGGTGGGAGAGAGAGGTTGATTACTGAATCCTTGTTCCTCGAGTCTACACCCAACACATGTAACAGAAATGACTCCATGCAAATACCAGAAATATGGAAGATATTATTACCGCCGGTCAAATCAAAAGAGGATAATAAATAATCTTAAAATTATATTTCAATTCAAGCACATCACAACATTTTAACAAGTTACTTATTATGATTATAAAAACACTCGTCTTATTTCCCATCTGATTGTACTTGATCGCCAACACTCATATTATTATTTCTGAATGTACATTATCACATATTGATTTTTATTTAAATTATCTGGTCAATTCCACATAGGTATATAAATGAAGGGGAAAAAAGTTGTGTCAGTAGCTTCATATGATTATGAGCGGCAATAATTCGTGCTCGAAACGAGGTCATCAGTTAATATTACTGTGTGACTTAGCAAAATAAAATCTTATCTATAATGGAGATGAAACTTTTCATCCATATATACGTACACATGCATATATTGATTGATTACTGTAAGCACAACATCTCAGCCAACATTAGTGGTAGCGGACATAAACGAAGGTGAAGGTGACAGTATACAACAACAGTCAGATTATTTATTTATTTATTAAAAATAATAATTCGTATAAATCCCTTGAAATGTATGGAAGATGATTAAACGATTAGAATTTTGAAATGTGACTATATGACTAATATTCAACTGTTTGAAGAGTCATCGCAGACACAGTCGCACGATTCTCAGTTAATGGAATAGAAATACTCAAGTGTTGGTTTTTAGGGGTTTGGTTGGTTACAGGATTTCATCATGAGCTGACATTAGTTAGAGAACCATTGGAAAACCAGGACTGGAGTATTGCACAGCTGTTTCGTCCTAGTTTGAGACTGTTCATCGTCAGGACGCACCCACTGGACAAAAGATCTACTTTTGTATTACACAATTTTTCATACATGTATAGATGCTGTAAATATGATATGATTTTTGAATTTGAACGTACGACGAATTGACACTTACTGAACACATACACTGGTATGGAATGTAATCTTTATTTAATTGGTGGATGGTGACTATCAGTGGAATCCACGATGCCCATTTAGTCCTATTTGGGACTCGTCAGCTGGATGTACCTGCATTTCTCAGTGAGTGATGATGTTCCCACCGAGGCTCGAACCCAGTGCCCATAGTTTCAAATGCCAAAGCGCTATCCTCTAGACCACTTGAGCCACCTCTTGTGCAACGGGTCATATTAATTATTGAATTGAATCTTTGATTTTCCCGTCGATTGATTGGACCGAAGTGCTCGGTCTCAGGTTGACATGTCGGCTTCTTGTGCAGATGCTTCGACAATGTCTGGGAATTTAGTATTTAATTGGTGGATGGTGACTAGCAGTGGAATCCAGGATGCGCATTTCGTCGTATTTGGGACTCGTCGGCTAGATGTACCTGCATTCCCAAATGAACACTGAGCACTTTGGTCCAATCAATCGACGGAAAAATCTAAAATTCAATTAAAGTAACATGGTCCGTTGCACAAGAGGTGGCTCTCGTGGCTCAAGTGGTCTATTGGATAACGCTTTGGCATTTGAAAATATGGGCACTGGGTTCGAGCCTCGGTGGGAACATCATCACTCACTGAGAAATGCAGGTACATTCAGTGACGAGTCCCAAATAGGATGAAATGCGCATCCTGGATTCCACTGCTAGTCAGTCACCATCCACAGATTAAATTCTAATTAAATGCCCAGACATTGTCTAAGCATCTGCACAAGAAGCCGATATGTCAACCTGAGACCGAGCACTTCGGTCCAATCAATCGACGGGAAAATCAAAAATTCGATTAAAGTAATCTTTATTTGTTTGAGTTTCACTGTTATAGAGTGAAATATAGTGCAAGAAATGTCAAAAAAAAATCTAATCAAGTGTACGTTTCTAGAACATGTTTTGACAACAACAAAAAAGTAATTTCATATTAGATAAGTTTATTTTTAAATATCACACAGCGATGCAAATCGAAACGTAAAATGGAGTTTTGACAAAAATAACTTAATAAGTAAGCAGTGATATATTTATTTTGATTGAGCACTAGTCAGTAACTAGCGTTATGTGTTTGGCTAGTCTTATCTTTTGGTGCAGACTGAATTCTACCAGTCAAGTTTATAATGTGGCTACCGTGCTAGATGAAAGTTTAACGGTAAGTGGCGAGAGTCTTGGTAGAGAGATGTTTATTTCTTATTTATTTGGTATCTCCATATGACCAAATTATGTACCCCATATCTTCAAATCACCATTTGTACAGATCTTCCGTGTTGTGCTACTTCACGTCTCCATATTGTATTTCTTACTGTTCCTTTCAGGTCTCGAACATATCTCCGCAAAGCTGTATCATCTGCTTTCTTTGAAATTAAATCTATCTCCCTGCTATTTGGTGTTTTTATGCCCATAAACGTCTCTTGATAAACTACTGACAAATTTCATCAGTAGCACACACCACAGAAGTATATTGCTAAGTTGACTGATAGAATTCAGTCGTCACCAAACAAATGACTAGACACATTACACTGGTCACCGACTGACTAGTGTTCAATCAAACGTATCCAATATAGTCCTACAGGAGGGGAATCACGAGCCCGAATGGCTCAGTAAAAGCGTCTCTGACTGCAGCAATGGGTGGCATGGGTTCGAGTCACAGAGAGGACATGAGTTCCTTCAAGGCTGCAGATACACCTTGGTGACAGGTGCCAACTAGCAACACACGTCGGCCCAAGGCTTCCTGCCTAATGCCTCCAACCAATTAATACCAACAGTGATATAAAAATCTTCTATAGTTTCGTTTGCAAGGGTTAGTTATGTTTTTACGAGTTGATCACGGATTGATATCAGTTAGAGAACCATTGAGAACCAGGGAGTACTGGACAGCTGCTGTTTCATCCTAGTTTGGGAATCATCGGCACTACACACCCACTGGGACTCGAACCCAGGACCTTCCGGTTACAAGGCAAGCTATCTCGTATACCATTCAGCCACTGGACCCGATTCAATGGCACATGAATTCTAATTTCTACCAATTCGTGATTTAGAGCGACCCCAGTACACCATGGTTTTTCAATGGTTCTCTAACTGATATCAATCCGTGATCAACTCGTAAAAACATAACTAGCCCTTACAAACCAAACTAAACAAAATTAATCTGATGCTCGCTAGCGACTTGCTACAGGATGAAGTTTCCTGAGTTCTAGTGAGAAGTCGTGACCAGTGAGGTCCAATTATATGTCACGTATGTGGATGGATGTGCCACCAACTACAATGGTTGGGGTCGCACTAAATCACGAATTGGTAGAAGTTAGAATTCATGTGCCATTGAATCGGGTCCAGTGGCTGAATGGTATACGAGATAGCTTGCCTTGTAACCGGAAGGTCCTGGGTTCGAGTCCCAGTGGGTGCGTAGTGCCGATGATTCCCAAACTAGGATGAAACAGCAGCTGTCCAGTACTCCCTGGTTCTCTTAACTGATATCAATCTGTGATCAACTCGTAAAAATATAAAAATCTATTCAGTATGCGCTACTTCCAGATAAATTCATAGATTAAAAGTTATCAGCGGTAATTCATCTAGGTTAAGAATACGCATCTTAGTGTTGTATTATCTGAGTCGGATAGTTTAATTACAAGGACTTCATTGTCCTTCTGGACGTCTTCTGCACCAACCTCAATACGAAACCTTCATAAGTCAATGAAGAAAAGACATCATGTTGATCAGCAGGCATGATTTGCATACCCACGATTCAGGCCACACACTACATATGTTATTTATTTTACAAAAACAGTTGAAAAGGCGATGTGACTCGGATATAATATATATTGGAATAAAATTTTACCTACCATTCACTACGGCTAGAGCTTTAGAACCAGAATTTAAATTCAAGAAGCTCCCAGTGCCTAAAGTAATCTTAGCTTGACAAGGAGATAAACAATTCTCAGTTAATGTGGCCGCTTGAGCATCACCAATAATACCAGTGACTGGAATAGCTAATGACGGATTTGATGAATTTCCAAGAGGACCATGTCGAACAGTTCCGTAATAATAACTGAAAGATAATAAGAATAAACTCAATACAATTTTGGTATTAAATAGCATATGTTTTAAAAACCACCAAACGAAAATGATCAAATGACATGCAAAAATGAACAACACAGAGTGATCTAACAGTGTTGTAGTGATTTGTGTATTTCGTTGTGTAAGACTTTTCACCAATACCTCAAATTGGAATCTACAATGCAATGGTAAATAGTCAAATAGTTGAACTAATGAGAGCAGTTGGCTAGTTAACTAAGCCAACCACGATTGACAGACAACAAAACTACCAGAGAAGCTTCGACAAAATAACGTAAGATCACTGAGAAAGTGCATCAGTTCAAATCACCTTAGATTATATTCCCTGTAATTTTACACTGTACAAAAGACGAAATGAAGATACAGTTGTGTACTGGCGATTAAGCTGTTTATAAAATTGGTTATTTAAGTTAAGCACCAGTTCAACACTTTCTGTTTCATTGCATTTCTTTTCTCTGCTACTGTGTGTGTGCTTTTATGAAGTGTAGTAACCCGAATTACAATACCGTTGTACAAAGTTTTACGTTAACAGTTCAGTTCATCACTTGACCAAGTTAAACTTTAAGCACCACTAACTAACAATGGAGTACGACCGCACCATTGACCCTGAACGGTCCAATGGGATTTATTCACGTGAGTTAAAGCTTTTATTCCGCATGATTTGAGTTAAATGCCTACTCTAACACAATTGCGTTTGCCATTTGGTGAGGATCAAGTCTTTCAGTATTGCTTGGATGTGGGGTTGATTAGGAAAGAAAGGATTTGTTCATTTGGATGTGTGGTGACCATAAAAAGCTTCAGTAGATCAGTTTATAGACTTGTACGTTGTTATGCAATTTTTTTGAGACAAGTTAGAGTCAGAGAAGATAACCTGGTGATTCTAATATTTCGTAGGAACATATGATACCTCTGTACAGAAAGGATTCGTCGAGAGCATAGTACATAGAAAGTCAAGTACTTTATTAACTATTATTACTCGACTGGTGAAATAAGCATCTATAATATACACAGATGAGTGGAAAGGTTATAACTCCTTGTCATCCCTTGGATATATTCACCATAGATTCAACCACTCCCATTACAGGGACCCACACCAATTCCATCACTGGCTTTTGGGAAAGGTTAAAAACCAGGATTAGAGACATTAATGGATCGCAAAGCGATGTCGTTTATAGTCATATAGATGCAAATACATATGTATAGGATGTGGTGTAACTTTTCCATCGATACTCCTATGCTAAACTAGGAGATGTTTTTATCACATGTGAAAGGTATTCTATGTAACGCTTTTATACAATTTCCATGCATTTCCCCATGAATATATGTATCCATACAAAAAACGCCTCCTTCGTGTGATTGGTGCGTTCAAGGTCATTCGCCGATTGGTAGTTTGTGGTGCTTAAAGTTTAACTCTGCCAGGTTAGAAGAATAAACTACTTTTGGTTCATATGATATGGCACTTTTAAATGGACGAGTGTATTCCATTTGAAAAAAATAGAAAACAAAACCCTGCATAAAACAATTAACAATAGTAATAATGACTGCATTCCAAACGGTACTTTTGATACAGTGTAGAATTCCCAACATGTAGTACAATATTGTATCTGATTTTATCTTTACATTAAATTACATAGTAGGGAGTAGAGCAATTACATAACCTTTTTGACATTTATGGTAATAGTAGTAATAATAATAACAGCTTTTAATCATAAATAGACCTGTTATTAAACTTTCAAGGCTCAAATTAATAATAATAACAGTAAATGTTTTTAGTCACACTCTAGGGGCAGTTAGCTTTGTTACCTGAGTAGTAATGTTTAGATAACACCGAAAACGTAAAATTTTCAAACTTTAGAGGTTAATTGGCAAACATAGAGAACAGCGACTAAGCAGTGCAAACTCATCGCTAACCCTGAACGCCTACCATTCGTTGGCTTACAGATCCTGCAATGTATTCTACACAGAAAAGCCGTTTATTTAGGAGAAAAATTAATAAAGTAACAGTGAAACACATTTACGACGATATTGTTATTATTATTCCCTTGCGTTCCGAGTGGAACATAGGGCTAGCTTCAACAACACATCTCCATTTTGTTCTGTTTTCTGCCATCCTCTTCAGGTGGGTCCACGATTGACCAAACTCTCTCATCTCTTCTTCACACGATCTCCTCCATGTCACCCTCGCACGGACGACCCACACGTCGCTTCCCATTTGGATTTCACTCGAGCTATGGCCTGGCGTGCGATGTCATTCGACGGCCTCTTCAATGTACGCCCGATCCATCTCCACTTCCTCCTACATATTTGTTGAGCGATCGGCTCTTGCCTGTTGGTTTGTTCTTGTTGCTCATTCTTTCTGGCCATTTGATCTTCAATATGTTGGAAATCCTTCTCGTGAGGCACTGGACACGTTTCCGACCCGTATAAAAGAACCGACTTCACATTGGTGTTGAAAATTCGAATCTTGTTCCTTATACTGAGTGCGGAAGATTTCCAAACTGGTTTGAGGCGTATCTTGCCTTTTCGATTCTGACTTTGATGATATTTTACCCTGAAGTAACTGAAGAATACTTCCCAGTTTCCTTTCACAAGTTTCATAGCTATCAAAACAGTTTCATGGATATGAACAAGGAAATACCCTATTTCCATATATTTATTTACAAGAAATATACAGACAATAATGTGTTTTTCCCTCAATCAATCAACGAGGCTATAAAGTTACATAGATTGAGATGGCTAGGTCACGTGCTGCGCATGTCTAACCATTGCCTCCCCCGACGGGCATTACTAGCTGATATAGGTGCAGGTTGGAGAAGGGTAAGTGGTGGCCAAACAAAAACATGGCCTCATCAATCCATGAAATCCTTGATAGTTAAACTGAGTCAGGTAGGGAGATGCAGACTTCCGGGTTGGGGCCCTCGGGACTCTAGGAATCAATGGCTGGAGACAATAGGTGACATGGCTCAAAGTCGTTGTCAATGGCGCAGATGTATTCAGTCTCTGTAATCTTTCATGTTCCTTTCCACCATTACCCATTCTGTTTCACTCGTATACTTGTCAGACTGTATTGATTCTCTTCACTCATCTTCTTGTCTACCTCTGTGTGCTATTTGGAACGTGGCAACTCGAACTGCTGCACTTCGGTGCCAAGTTCTATGTTGAATCCAGACAGACAGAGTTTATTTTTATAGGATGGAGTTGCTAGCCTCATACCCAACCTTTCCTCTTCACCAGCTTTACTTCTGGATGTTTTAAAGACAATAATAAAACATCTCAACCCTAATCCTAGCCCAAACTCCGACCTTAATGCTAATCGTAACCTTAACATACTATCAACCAAGTGTCTAGACAGTAATTAAAATGAAATCAGGACAAAATTTGCACCTAAATTTGTGCACAGCATTCATACTGGCGCTGTAATAGCGGCAGGTTCTGTAGTCCAACGAATGATATGCGTTGAAGGTCATTGGTGCGTTTGCACACTATGGTCGCCATTCTTTAAGTTGACCGGATAATAAATCACCTTTTAGGCGAAACATGTTTCTTGTTACTAGCGTTGTTACTTGAATTTAATTGATTTTCGCAGAAGAAAGTCAATAAATCTAGTGACATACTTTAATGGCAAATACGATGTTACACAAAACATGACTCAGCACATTCAGTTAATTTGCTTTCACTATACAGATTTTACTCAGACAAGAGAAACGATAGAGAACACAGACTAAGATGATCACTTAAGCTTACACATTTGGCACAATTTTTACGTCTGATGATAAGGTTAATCATATTTGAAAAAGGATCGATAAGAAGTATAAAATATACATAAAAAAAGCAATGTATTAAAAGAGTTTAAAAATAATAAAGAGCATTAGAAAATGATAGAGTGATATCATTATTATTATTATTTGTGACAGGTTTCTGATAGCGCCATTAAGCCCTTCATTTTTGTATATACTAACCAACTAGGTTATCCTTTTCAGAGCTGTCGTTAAATGTTTTGGCCATTTAACTTTAAAAAAATTAAATAATACGATTCCAGTCCTGATTTATGTATCAGATATGGTCTACACCTTCAAAATAAGTTTGATCGCGAACTGACTTCAATCACAGAATTATTGAAAACCAGGGGGTGTTGGACAGCTGTTTCGTCTTTGTTTTAAGACTATCCAGGAGTACGCACCCGAGATCGAATCCAGAACCTTCAGGTTAAAAGGCGAATTCGTAAATCATTCTAACTTCTGCCAATTCGCGACATAGTGCTACCGCCAACCAACACGCCGGTGGATGAATGGTATACAACCTTGCCTTATAACCTGAAGGTCATGGGTTCGATTCCTGATGATGGAATGGGTGCGTGCTCCCGAAAAGTCTCAAAACCAGGACGAAACAGTTGTCCAACACTCCCTGGTTTCCAGTGCTTTTTTGACTGGAGTCAGATCACGATCAAGCTTGAAATGAATCCAATCTCTACGATCCTAAAAAAATAAGTATCTTACTGTAATGCATACAGAGGCAAATTTCCAAGGCTGGACTTGTTTTTATAATTTATATCGATAAATGTGAATTCGTGTCAGATCTTCGAATAACCGTCCGACCAGACTATCAACTAAGAATGGAAGGTATTTTGGAAAGTATAATTTTCCAGATTTATTGACTTCGCGTGCTTATATTGAACTGTATGATCAGTTACCTACGCAAAAATTGATGATTAGTTAGAACCTTATTCAGCTTATTTTTAGCCTCTACAATCCGACCTTGTAGAATCTGTGACTGATATATGTAAGTAACTTGTCTGATATGGGTTTGTAATCAGAGGCGAGCAAGAAACCTTGTACCTAAGTTTAGTGTTCCTCAATAATTCTAGGAGATTGACGCTCCTTTAGGGATTCGAACTTAGGACTACAATCCGAGGAGCTACTAATAGGCTGATTCTATCTGAATTAAAGATAGCATAATCGAGTCACAACAAAAATACTTCATCTTCCAACCAGAATTGTATAGATAATCAATCGATAATTTCAATTGATTTGAATCTGATAAATGCAAGACATAAGATTCTTTTATAATTGATACTTCCACCAAAGAAGTGGACAGAATGAACAACTCTATCAGATAACTGTAATACAATGTTAGATCAAATGAGTACATGCAGATATTTGGTAATACTGTGTGATCAACGAAACAATTCGGGGTGACTCTAATGGTGAAACTAGTATTGCATTTACATGACAGTTTTCTAAACAAAAGGAGGTTTAAAATAAATGGAGACAAAAATTAGCAACATACAGTTATTTACAGGTAAAGGGCATCATCATAGTACGATAAAGATGACCCGTTCTATCCGACCAATTACTCAAATTAACTTAGCTTATGATTAGAAGTCACTTTCAGTAAAATGATAGTGGTTTCCTACACACCTCTTACTTACCTGGATGGATAAACATCGGGAAGAATGCTTGGAGGTATTCCTAAGCTGGCCAAAATTGGATGACTCCATTTACGCTATAAAAAGAAGAGAAGCAGTAAATGAGAGAGAAAATGTCACTATTACCGTCATCCTGAAAGGGTTTTGTCAAACCATAAAAACTGATGATTTAAGAAGACAGCTTTTTAAGCAATAATCTTTGATAACACTGCAGTTAGTTGCATAATGTCACTGATTGGTGTAGGAAATACTAACATAGAAAATAGCGATTGAGACGAGGAAATCATTAAATATTTTCTGCTTAAATTATTAGATTCTATGAAAAAGCATAGCAATTTTTGCACTGAAGTCTTGTGTACATAGCCCCCTTTACAGTTGTAATATCAAAGCAACCATCTTGTACATATGTTGGTGTCGTCTGCTTACCTTTTTCGATATTTAAACTGCAAAAATATCACCGATACATGGAATTTCCAACTTTCAGAGTTTTGGCTAGTAGAAGAAAATTTTAACTCTTTTAACAGAGAAAAATACACTAAACATTTTCAGATAAATTCTATCTTCTTATGTTTTTTTCAAAATGCATAAAGGAGACTAACGACTTCAAAACAAAGAAAAAAATGCAGGTGAATATGTGGGCAATAGCAGTTGGAGTAGTTGAGAAATATACGAAGTATGCCTACTACAATGATTAGATTGAGAGCCATCTGAACAGTAAATAACATCAAGTCTACAAATCCATTAATTGTTGGTTCAAACTGCATCTGCCTGGAATACGATGAAATCAGATGTGGTTGAACAAGACATGATGTTAATCCACAAAGTAATTGTTCATTGATATCAAACACGAAGGGACAACGGGAGCTTTGCAATAAAATTAACCAGCTTGAAAGTGCTTTTGGATATGTGTGGGCGGTTGTTACTTCCCGGCTGCCCACACCGTGGAAATTGATTGATTCTTCGGGTACCTGAAACAGAAAGTGTTGCGTGACCGCAGGTCCCAGGGGACAACTGCTTGAGGCCGGTCACAGACGGCCTGTATGAACTGGTTTCTTCGATTGGTTCCGTATTAGTAAACTTACCGCCGGTTACGGACCACCGTAGGGTAAGTCAGGATGTACAATTTTTGGGGTAGACATTTTCTAACCCCCTCTCTCCGGAGTGTAGAGACAGCATAGCTGGTATGCTGGTCATCTGAAGGAAACACCTCACTGCTGTTACACCCCTATTTCCCAGCAGTACGACTTCGCCCTCAGACCTGCAGCATAGTGTAAGAAGGAATCTTACACAATGCCGGTAACTGCTTTTAGTCTAGTGGCTATCCTAACAACCTTCCTGGTATGGTAGGACCTGCAGGAGCATTGGTTCCAGCCAGTGCAGCTTGTTGGGTCATCGCGATGTACAAGCCCGACCACCACGTCAAGGTGGTAGCTATCGGTCGAGAACACAACCGCACGAAGAAGTGTTAATCGTCTGACTCGAGTTGCAAGAAAAAACCCATATTAAGTGCTCCACTCCCCCTCCATAATAGTAATATTTCACTTAGGAGTGCGCTAAGAATTATAACTCTAAGTTTATTAGGAAGGCATATTTTTTAAAAGTGATTAATTCAAGATGCCTATAAACTCACAGAGAAAGGATCATACATTCCGGTAACACTTGCACAGCTGACATCTGTAGCAAATGTTTCTCCACCTGTAAGCTTCCATATCAACCATGTTTCTAAACATCCATAACAGAGTAAACCTTTACGGCATTCATCTAAAAGCTATAACAAAATAAACAAATAAAATAAAGTCGCACATACATTACCTTGACATTAGAATGATAAAGTATTTCGAAATAGCAACCATTTACGGGGATACCTTGAAATACTTAGGGATTTTGAGATATGCTTTCTGCCGCTGAATAAAAACTGAACATTGTTAACACGAAAACCACACAATTACTGAAACAACTATATATATATATATATATATATATATATATATATATATATATATATATACTCAATAGTTACCTCAGGCATAACACAACATGTAGACACATAAATATAGGATAAAATGGTGCAAAGTAGCAGTCTTAAAATCTAATTATAGTAAGGTGAACGGAGTGAGAGATGTTTGTTGAATCAACTGAGAATATGCGCAATAGAAATAATTCAACACAACTCGGACATTTGAAAACTCCCACTACCCATATGACAAATGGAAACGGCGGACCGGCACCATAAATATGTTTCAAAGTTGTGAATATGATTGTGAACAATAAATTGTGTTTAAAATGTCGTCCAGTATATAATGCTCTATAAATGTGCGGTATATCTAATTTAGTTGCTCATGTGGAGAGAGCTATGTAGGGCGAACAACTAGACGGCTTAACAAATGCATTAATGAGCCTCCTCCTTTGTGGTTCGGAAATGGCCAAATAAAATCTATCAGTTCTATTTTGGCTCTTCTGATTGATAGCGGTCACCAAGTGGACAGAAATAGTGCCTTCAAAGTTATCTATCGCAACCCACCAAGTCTTACGAAAGGAATTCGAAACCGCCTTTTACACAGAGCCAAAGCTATGGGAATTCGAGAGAACAATCCTAGTCGTTGCATAAAAAAGAAGTTTGTCTTACCTTTGTCTTTCCTTTGGCTCAGGTGAATTCTAATCAGAACCCTCCCACCCTTTCCTTATTTTCCATTTCCTTCGTACTTTTATGATACTTATCTAAACTCTGACTATCTGCCCACTTCACCTTTAGTTTTATGTAATTTTTAAGATTTGACCTGATTTATTTATTGAATTGTCCATATATACCTTTGTTATTCTTATCGCCACCTGCATAAGCCTTATTATCACTATTTTTTTATCATTATAACCATCGTTATTAATGACGTTCAAAATATTTACCACATTATTATTACTGTCATTATTTGATCCACAAAATCACCGTCATTGGTTAAAATTGTTATATATAAATCTATGTAAATTTGAGTAAAGCCTGAAGATCTAATTGAAAACAATATTGTTCGCTTATACGTCTTGTTCTAGAATATCTAATAGGCAAACTAACAGAGAATTAAATACAAACAATGCCCAAGTCTTACACACATATATCAATTCAAAAATTACAGAACTTTAGGCACACTCATTGACAGATATGAGAGTTCTACTGAAAATATTTTGATAATCGTCAACAAAAACATATCAAATCAATTTGTGAAACCATTCAATAAACGAAATTCCGAAATGACATTAGAATTTCAAAAACGGAATCCGTTATTTAAATTTCATTCTAACTACGTATTTTCTATGCATAATAGTTTGCATGCTGTCAGCTAGATGATAATATTGACTAGGATTCCTGAGTTTTTGAGTATTTTTCCTAATGAGCGACCAAAACAATTAAAATTTTCTTTTCAAGTGTTCTTTTGTGGGGATTTCATTGAGTTCAAGTTTGATGACGAACCGACTTCAGTTAGAGGACAATTAAAAGCCTGGGAGTACTGCACAGTTGTTTCGTCCCTCTTATTTGGGACTCCTCACCAGTACACACCCATGGCTCCACCAGGAATCGAATCTAAAGCCTTCAGGTTACAAAGCGAACTCGTATACCATCCAGTCACTGGGACGGAATCCAACGGCCCATCAATTCTAAATCCTGCCGATTCACGATATAGCACGACCGCCAACCAATATCATGAAGTTTGGATTATGGGTGCGTAGCGCTGAAGGGCCCGAAGAAAAAACGAAACAGCTGTCTAGAACTCGATGGTTTTCAATGGCTCTCTAACTGAAATCATTTCGTGATCAATCTTGGAATTAAAATGTAGGTGCCAGCAAAAGAAAAATATATAAAAAGAGATACCCATATATAGTGGTAAGACATGAAACTTTTCACGCATATTATATGTCTTTAGGGATCTGTATACACGATGTAGCAGTTACAAAGATAATTTAAAAAACAAACATTTTAATTGTTTAGAGATCACGTGATTTATAAAACGTACCTCTGGCCTTTCATTTAGTAAGTATTTAAGACGTACACAGGCTAATGCTGTTTTGAAATGGTATGACGCTAATGCTTTGAACCTTGAGCGATGAGTCATCCAGTATAACAGATGACCAGCAGCTTTCATACTCTGTAACGTAATAAAATTATAAGAAAATTAATTATAGGTATAAAAGTGAAAACACACATATATTATCAACATTAAATAGTAGCCAGATTAATCATGTTTCTTTTTATTTTCACGATAACCAGTGGATGGTGAGTCTCTTAATTATTTGCCGAGACATCACTTCGTGCAATGCGATTAGGTTCTACTTTAATTATATCCATCTGTTATATAAAACCACCTACGGTGACACGACATAAATTCATACTTATGATGTCTAACCAACAACAATAAGCATCTATCTCTGTTGGTATTAGATGGTTGGAGGCAATCAGCAGGAAGCCTTGGACCTAGGTTTCGTGCTACTTGGCTTGAGTGATAGAATTCAGTCTGCACCGAAGATAGGACTAAATACATTACACTAGTTACTGACTAGTGTTCAATCAAAAAAGCATCTATCACTAGCAACAAGAGAAATATGAAGAAAGTCACCACTTTCATTTATCTAGGCAGCTTTGTTTCAACTACAGGCGGCACAGATGAGGACATCAAAAGAAAGATAAGAGAAGCAAGAGATTTTCATTAACCTGAAATCAGCGTGGAAATCTATTGCACTCAACATAACGAAGAAGACACCGATTTCAACATTGATGTCAACTCAATTCTTCTCTATGGTCCAGAGACTTGACGCGTTACTAAAACCATTTCAAATAGGTTGCAGATTTCTATCGGTAGATGCTTTTCTTCTACACTGAAGATCAAATGGCCGGCCGTGATGAATACGCGATAAGGCACTCTAGGAAAGAACCAACCAGTAGCCTATCGCCCAACAAATGGACATGGATTGAATATACGCTGAGGAGACGATTGCATAAAATCACGCGCCAGGCCATAAAATGAAACCCGAGGGTGATATGAAGTTGATCGTGTGAGGAGGAGATGAGAGCTCATAGATAATCATGGAGCCAGATAAAGAGGACTACAAAGAACACGATAAAATGGAGAGGTGCTGTCGAAGCCCAATGTTCCACTCGGAACCCAAGGGAATAATAAACAAAATAGATGTATTGCTCTGAATATGAATCACAAGACAAATAAAAGATGTACGAATTCATATAAGGATTAAGAGTGATGAGTTTAAAATCATCACGACATTGTGATATTTCCAAGAAAAGGGAATTCATGCGTCAAGCCTCCATAACATTACAATAACTTCAACTTCACGACAGACTATTCAAATAAACTGGATGACTCTAAGTAATAGCAGTATATATTGGTTGCACCAAATTATAGTGTCTATAATGCCACTGGAATATGTCTCCTAAAAACAGAGACCTTGCGTGTATTTCTATTTTAATAATTCCTATGAAGTTGCAGTCTTATTAGTTTATTCCATCTGTTTCAAACCCTAATACACTTAAAAGTCGGTGCAAGCTAGTCACTAATTAAGTGCAAGGAAGCGGAAAGTAACATGAGGACTGGTTGAAACGAAAATTCAGTACTCAAGTAATTGAGCAAGTCAACTAATATCAGGCCTTTTCCAATGGTGCTAAATTTAGTGGTCTATAATTTCGGCTAAAGATTTGTACTATGTACGAACAGATTATCTTTCTTATCATTAATAATAGTATTTTTGAGCGAACATGTTAGATGGTGCTTACAAATTTACCCAGCGCCTCTCATCAGCTCAAGTTTCTAGTATTACGGTTTACGTGGAGGAATGTAACATAAATAAATGGGAATAAGCTGAATTTAATACTGTTGATGAAAGCAAAACTGGAGCATATGGAGTAGGATAGGAATTTTTAGAAATATGCACAGACAACATCCTAGAGACAGAGCTAAGAAGTACTTAAGTTTTGCAGCATACCATAACAGCTGATTATCTTTTACGCCATTTTCATACTGTGAAGAAATAGTCAGTCACCTACGCAAAATAAGTGGTGAATCAAACAATGCGATATTAGTATCCAGGTCAATAACACCACTTATACAACAATAAATAGTGAAATTAAGTAATAGACTTACACGAAGTATAAAAGAGTTATTCCATTTTTTAGCGAGGTCTAAAGCACGTGTATCCTGCCATGTGATAATTCGCGTTCGCGGGATTGATGTCTTTCTGTTCAATAATTTTCATCAAAAATAAAGTCTTACTTATCCCAAAGCACTAAACTATTTCTCTGAACTGAAATGCCTATGCATTTGATTTGGTCAGGACGAATGTTGGCGTCTACATCATTATTTTGTGAAGCATTTGTATTACCTCGTACAGCACTATCCAGTAGTCTGCATAAGCAATCCCATACAGCCTCCGGATCCAATTCACATGAACCATCCGACCCTTCAATCCGGGATACCTATAAAACAGAACGGTCGGTAATACCACTTTTTATAGATATCACTCAATAAAATGAGAATCCCCTCTTCCTTCTACACCTTATAAGCTTTATTGATAAATCAATGTAGGGTCGTGTAATATGCATATAGAATTTCGGTTTACCATATCCATACTGTGCTTAAGATAGGGAAAATATATGGTGTATGGGACCATGATATATTTAATAAGACCACTTTTAAGACTACGTGTTGCATTAACGGACGACTATACATAATCAAAGGGAGCAATTGTACTCGCTAGTGATTATTTACTTACAAATACAGTAGAACAAAATGTGGTGGAATATTCATGTAGATGCTGTTGTTCCATCAAAAGTAAGAGACGAGTTACACTGAGTGGATGAGATGGTGAATAGTTCACACTAATAACTTCACTGAAAATACAGAACTAGATTAAGTTTTCATTTACTGTTCGCCAGACGGTTAAAGAAGAAATCCGGTCATGTACTAGTTAATTGCACTATTTTCTGCAAATAAAGAATGAACAGAACACATCCTAAAATGTGGAGGTTTCAGAAGGGCGACTTATTGTACGTCGGCAAAAATCATGTACAGTTACAATTACAGTACTTTCACTATGTTTAATCTTATTAGCATCATATCATATCACAAAAAGTGATTATTCGTGACACTATGCATTAACAAATGACCTAAGTAACACATCCTACAAAACCTCGGGAATGCAAAAGTGAGATAAATCCAACAACTTATGCCGCTCTCGACTAAGAAGAATTAGTTAAAAGTGTTTAGTAGGAAATGTGGTCATGACGAATTTCTCAGGAAAAATCTTGCATTTCAAAACATAGAACTCGTAACGAAAAATATGCGATAAAAGCTCTGATAGCAAATAAATGTACGCCTAGAAATCTGTTTTCACGGGTTCTCAAAAGTATTGAGGCATCTTAGTCTTAATAACTCTTATAATGCTTCCACATATCTGTGTCGATAGACAACCATTCTCAAGTGGACATTTTTATTAAACAAGCAACCACAGTACTGCTTACAAGTCACTACTACCCAAATCAGTATTAAATAAGTATTAAACAAACTGGTAACAAGTCCAGATTGACACCCAATGCGTGTGAACAACATACTGACTCACTTTAGTGCTGCTAGATCCAATGGCTTTAAGATCCGTAGTGTAAACTCTGGCACATGCATGAGTGCTTCCAAAGTCAACACCCAGTACGTACTTGGAGACCATTTGCTGTAAACCAATTTCAACGAGACAAGAAGAAAACAAGAGGTAAAATCGGTCGAGTCTATATTTAAAAATGACTTCTAAATCACATATTTGTAAAATCAAAATCTCCTATTTTCAGGACTAGAAGTGGCAACTGCTTTTGTAAGCTCTCTGACTTTAGCCTCTTGGATATCGACCAAAGTCATGAGCTCATTAACTTGACTAGTAAGTTGATCCAGTGTTTTTTGTACATAATCCTCCTTATTAGCTTCTTTTCTGACTTGTCGACGATATTCCAACAAGAGACAGGAGGCCCCCACCACGAAGATGATTACTTCTCCCAGCACTTCCGCCCCGAGATCAACGGCAGCATCCTCACTTAGTTTGGCCACTTCTTTCGGCTTTTGTAGACCCAATAACTTTAATTTTAACCGAGTTTCCCATAAGTGATAAACTATGAATAAGAAACGTCGACTTTAATGAACTTACACTGTGCTGGTGGCAAGCACACGTAATGGCGGAAGAATGTGTTTGTTTTGGCCTTTCTTTTTAGGTAATTAGCAAGGGGCTTCCCAATTTGTTTGATAGCTAGTGCTCCTAACTTAAATACCGGGAAAGCCCCAACCATATGACTGATATCGAAAAGCGCGCTCTCAGAATTTTCAATACATAACTTATTAGTGATGAACTAGAATAAGTCTATTTGTCCTGGGGTTTTGCTTCTTTATACTGAGAAATGATTTAAGGTATCTAGTGACTTTTGATGAATGACATAAACCCCATGACTGAAGCCGCCATTCTAAACGTAGTGGGCGATAAGTGCTATGGTACTTCCTGCAGCATTCAAAGTACTGGCGTATGTGATTGTCGCACTCACAAGTATTTCTTCAAACTGCTCTGAAGTCATAATGTGGATTTACTAGATGTGAAAAACAGATGAGGGAAGAGAACCAAACAAACGATAAAATCACGACCCTAGTTCATAAAAGTAAGTGTCAAGTAAATGTATTCGCTGATATGCGGGCGAGTTAGGAAAAAATAATTTTAATGCCGTTCCAGAAATTCACATTGCGCATTGATTTGGCCTGTTTAAAGTGATATGATAGGTTTTTCCACAAGTTTTTCCCATGCATATCTTGTGTAAGTGAGTAATTATAAGTATACTTACTCTTCATATATGATATTTATCATATTGATGATGGTTGTAAAATGGCGTCCCACATGTACAAAAATCAAGAATATAGTAAATTTTTGAAGTGGTACTAGAGGATGTGTTCTTGATCTAGGACCAGCAGATATTGTAGTGGTCACAAATGTGAATCGCCCCAATATGTGGGACGGCAACATGCATTTTTTGACAGCTCGAGCACTAAACAGGAGTTTGGGCCCCTAACATAAATAACAATAATGATCGTATAGATCTAAATTACCAAAAACGCTTCTGCTTCTGCCATCTACAAGCCTGCTCAGCTTCTTGCCGAGATGCTACCCTATCGGCCTTGAAGAAATTTGTGAGACATCTTACAGGTTGGCATATCCTACAGGTCCTAATCTTTTAGATCTTTGAAGCCATTTCCCACTGAAATATCACTTATCTACATCACAATCTCTCTGTCTAAGTACTCTTATACTCTATTTCATCTTAACTACCTAAGCTACTCTTTTATTCGTATTCTTCGTATTCTTCTTCGCCTGGTCGCTCTGTTAAGAAAACATAACAACACTAATTTTGGGGAAAGTTATATTTTCATCGAAAACATCATAGTTTCCATTGTGAGACCGTCCAATCCCTGTGGGGATTAAATGTGTGTTGCTGGCACAGTGGTTAGGACTCTCTCTGACGATGCACATGGTTCCAGGTTCGATCCCCTGCAGACGCATGCCTGATATCTATGGTCGGCCTGAAAAATTTGGGCTACCGACATCATATGCTGAAAATTCTATATTTGTGCCAAAATTAAGGTGTGGAATCAAGTTCTATTAAAAAATATGGTACCAGTGTGGCTGAAGATTGAACGATCAACTCAGGGTTGTTTCCTCTAATCAAACCCCTCCATATTTTTCGTGGGAGTCAACCGAGGTTGTCAATGGAGTTGAAGATTGAACGATCAATTCATGGTTGTTTGCTCAAAATCAACTTCCCCAATTCTCGCGGAGGCATCAATACGACAGTCATCGTCTCATCGGTCGCTGTTCAGAAAGAAGAGTAAAACATCGTCAGAAGTAATCTTGTGATTTATTATTGTAATATTTGTTCACAGACCTTAGTTCACTATTATTTTTATATGTTGGTGTAACAATAAAGAATTCCAAAGCGGCCAATCGGTGTTTTGGTTTTTGCGTCCGTTATAACTAAGCGTTTCTGAGAAGCTTCAAGGAACAGCGTGGGCCCGAGCGTAGCGAGAGCTGGGCATTAACGGTTTACGAGACGTGACTGACAGAGGTAGTGTCCTAGGTCCACTTTTATTCCCAGTCTACATTAACAGCATTTGCATGTGCTTCACCCCAGGTAAACCATTCCTATATGCTGACGACCTCAAAGTCGTCTACTCCTGCTACATCCATGAATTAAGCGATATGGTTACTAAAATACATCTTGAACTAAGTAGTCTCGCAACATGGTGTGCTGAATCCTGTCTAAACTTTAACATTGACAAATGCGGCTGGATTTGTATCGGAAACAGTAACCTTGATCTAACTCTTGAAATAAATGGGCGAAAACTAGCTAAGCTCAACTCAGTCGTAGATCTCGGTATAAGATACTCTAGTAACCTAACGTTCGCTGAACAGACCGATTATGCCAGACGTAAAACACGAAGGCTGCTAGGATACATAACACGCAATTTCTTTTATTGTGAAACTAGGGTTTTATTATACAAAGTATGTGTCCGACCTATCTTAGAATACTGCCCGTTTATTCTTAGCGGACTTGGACAAAATGACAAGCTTAAATTAGACGGAGTGCAACGGCAGTTTACCTCAAGAACTCTTGGTTTAGAAAGTGGTCTGGAATACCGTGAGCGATGCGAAAGACTAAGATTAGAACCACTCCGGAAAAGACGTCTTAAGCTAAACCTTATCTTTTACTACAAGCTAACTAATCTTCTCTTGCATTCCTCCGAGCCAATCACTAAACCTACCGCTGTCATCAGTTACAATCTTAGAAATCATCACAACCTAGCTGCTATGGAGCACTGTCAGACTTACGTGCGGTACGACTTCTTCTTAAATAAGTTTTCAGTCATTTGGAATAGACTACCAGCTAATGTGCGTGATGCAAACACACTTCCAGTGTTCATCTCCTCAGTCACCAGACTGCTCAAAGATGACAATGCACTTTTGCGCCTGACTCTTACACCTTCTTTTTCACCATACATAGATATTTTAAGTTCTTTAAACGTGTAGTTACAACAAACTACAATTATAAATTTTAATATTATTGGAACTAGATGATGAACATTTCTATACAGGACAGTAATATTAGTTCACACATAATATAAAAGTTAGCACAACGGGACTAGTTAGTTATTGAACAAAAATAACCATAGTTACTAGACAGAATATATATGCGTGTATTTATTGATCACTCTTTAAGGACTCCTCTTGCTTTCTTTTGCATTGCTGTTGTTTGTCTTCTTTTTTCTCTATCCATTTTAGCTTCCATTGTACTTTTTGAATGAGAATGAATAATGTGGATGTTTGACCATTTACAATGACAAATGATCTGCAAACATTATTGGTCCCGTATCTTTCTGTTGCCTAGTTAATAACGAATTAACTTTCCCCACGACGCAACCTGGATTACATTTGTGGAATATACGCTTATACCAATGGAAAAGTATCAATTTGTAATACAACGTCACGACTGTAACTTATAACTGATCGTATCTGTAAAAATAGCTTTCTTATTACCCAATTTGGATATAAATCAAAAATGAGATTCGGAATTGTACACACCTAAGTTATATTGTGGAATAACTTCAAGCTTTATTTTTCCCAAGTATTTTTAATCCATCCAAAACTTACTTGGGTTTTTTTGTTAATGCGAAGTCAATATTCCTATATTTCTTGATGTGCTCCATTGAATGGTTGGTTATCATATTGTTCCCACAAACCAAAGACAAAAATGTCAGCAACCATGTAATTTAACCATAAACCGAATTTATGAAATTTAAGTAATGCTTATCCATGCCTGTACATTTGGTGTGTCCTACACAGGTGGGAAAAATATGTATTTTATTAAAACATTATTATTAGGTATTATTGCTAAACGTATATGCAATTTATCATATTGATGATGCCTTTAAACTGGCGTCGCTCATTTACAAAATGAGAATATAATATTATTATTATTAATAATAATAATTGTCTGTCCCTGTTACCTGAGAATGATATTTTGTGAAGGACCTTAAAGAAGAATATTAGGTTTATAATAAGTCGCCTTGTCCAAAGTGGGTCAAGTTTTAGGATCATGCACCGTGAGATGTAGTCTTTCTTACAATCATAGCCAAGTAGTTTTGAGGTAAAATATCGTTGGATACTTTCCATCCTTAGCTTATCACGTGTGCGAGTGCTGCTTATAATAAATGGACAGTATTCTAGTAGTGGTCTGACACATGTTTTGTACAGAATAAGAATGGCTTCTGTCAATGCAGTTGAAGATTGAACGATCAATTCATGGTTGTTTGCTCAAAATCAACTTCCCCAATTCTCGCGGAGGCATCAATAAGACAGTCATCGTCTCATCGGTCGCTGTTCAGAAAGAAGAGTAAAACATCGTCAGAAGTAATCTTGTGATTTATTATTGTAATATTTGTTCACAGACCTTAGTTCACTATTATTTTTATATGTTGGTGTAACAATAAAGAATCCTGGAGTCAAAAGTTGGTGTTTTTGTTGTTTCGTCCTTTATTACTAAGCGTTTCTGAGAAGCTTCAAGGGACAGCGTGAGCTCGAGCGTAACAAGAGCCGGCCATTAACGGTTTACGAGACGTGACTGACAGCTTCATTGTCGTGAATGTTCCTGAATATGCATCCTAAGAGCATCCTCGATTTTCTTGTCTGTGATGCTACTTGCCTAGAGAATGTCAAGTCACTAGAGTACATCGGGCCTAAGTCAACGACACTTCGGAGTCTGGTTAGGGTGGCAGATTGAAGCGTTAATTTTAGGTCAATTGAGGGTGCGCCGAAGCAGATCCAGCCACATTTGTTCAGATTAAATTGGAGATTCCACAAGGACGACCAAGCAGTCACTTTATCTAATTCCTTCTCCACTGCATTCTAGAGGTACCGTAAGTCATCACATTGGAATGTATAAGCAAATTTTAGAGCATATACTAAGATGAATGGCTTCCCGTCCGTGAAGCAAGCGCATATATCAATGATGTATAGTGTAGATAGAAGGGGTCAAATGACACTACCTTGTACTACACCACGAAACATGTTACATTCACTAGGTCTATATGCATAACTAGACACCATAGAGCCTTCTCGATATCCACATCTCTCTGAGACCCTTTCATCATCAATGATTGCGTTTTACCCTCAGACTGCTCTATTATATGGGTGAGATGCAGTAAACTGGTAAACTTGCTCATTCGTTGATCGACACAATCTTTTACTAGTTTC